CCCTGATGAAGGCCTGAACTTCAGGTCGAAACGTCGGCATATGTAAAAATAAATATTATCATTTATTTTTGCCTTCTTTTTTGACTGACCACCCCAACTATTCTTCTCTTCATATATAATTTAAATACATAATTTAAGTGTCTTATTTTAATTTTAAGCTGTACTGCTCACACATATACACAAACCATTTTACGATATTTGTTTGTTTTGATTCACGGGATCTTCAACAAAGGTGGATGTACTGGGGGGGGGGGGGCTTTCGGGCTGAAGCGCCCCCCCCCCCCCAAATGGTAAAATATAACCATGTTTTTCAGAAAAAATATTAAAAATTATTTCTTAAAGTATTCTTATTCGTGTAATTATATTTAATAGGACTTCAAGAACCACTTAAACACCATTTCATATAGGTAGTTAATCTCTTCTTTTTTTTTTAAATTAATTATCGTTATATGTATATGAAAAAAAAAATCTTTCGGGCGGAAGCCCTCCTTCACCCAAAATTAAATCCTGCATCCGCTAGTGATCTTCAAACATATATTTCTGTTACAAAATAGTCACATTTCATTATTTTGTATATATTCCATGTACAGATTGGTGAGTGAATGTAAAAATAGATAAATATAAAATACGAAACAATCCTATGATTAACTAAATTAGAAAAATAAGGACAGAAATTTTCTGAGGTTCAAAACCAATGTCCAGAAATGAAAATAGCATTGTATACGTGCATATAGTATACATTGGAAAGATAAATATTATAAGTTAATATCCAAAAATATACAGTCGCAGAGGGAGAACACCATTTCAAAAGTTATATAATCATTATTGATAAATTTTAGAAAAAAATGGATAAATGCGAAAAAAAATATTTTCTATTCCAATAGTAATATCAAAACAAAATAAAATTTTCACTTTGCAAGACCAAGACCAAGACAACCTAACTCTTGCAAGATCAAGACCACCTAACTCTTGCAAGACCAAGACCAAGCTTGGTAAAAAAAAATAATCGATTTTTTCTTTCACTTACGCATATATGTAATATATAGTAAGGGTAAGTATTGCGATCGAGAAAGTTTTTGAATCTGAGTTTTCAACGGAAATCCACGTTTTGAGGTACCCTGGTATGGAAATGGTCTGTGTATCCGTGTGTTTGTATGTTAGCAGTCTAGCTCAAAAACGAAAAGTCCTACGAAACTGATATTACGTATTTAAGGTAGGTATATGCCTTAGATATGACGGCAGCTTTTTTGAATTATAATTAAGACAAATTAGTTATTAATACTCTACAATTTGAGTTACTATATGTAAAGAATTGATATAATCAATATACTTACAACTCTTCCAATTTTTCATTAGGGCTTAGTTAGGTTTACCTTATCTAAAAATTACAGTAATATCTCTGTAGTAATAAGCTAATAGATAACTGCAAGACCAAGACTGAATGCGGAAGACCAAGACTCGTCTTGGTCTCGCATTTGGGCAACACTAATGATAGGACGTTAAAGTGATTCTTGAATCCGATTAAATGGAATCACACGAACAATAATACTTTAAGAGATAGCTTAAAAAAAAAAAAAAAAATCTATAAAACATGGTTTTATTTTACGGTTTTTTTTTGGGAGAGGGGTGATCCCGAAATCCCCCTTCCCCCGTGGATCCACATGTGATTGTTGGAACATTTGTCTTCCACTGGCGGATTAACGAGTGACGGGTAATCGAGGCTTTACTGTATTTTGTTACAAAATCGGACTAGCTGTTTTCGAAATAAAGGTGTGTTAAGAAAAATATTCGTGTTAAATATTTTTATGTTTTTGTCTCTTTTTAATAGCCTTTGATTGGTAAAAGGAAATCCTTGAATGCTACATTAAGATGGCGCATTAATTCAGTCATAAACATTTTATCATCACCGTCAGCTGACTGCTCGAGGTTTATTACCAATTTAGCTAAGACCTCGTACTCTTGCGAAGGTATCGCCATTAAGGTAGAAGAAGTGAAGACATAGCAACGGAAGCAGAGCTGTTAAGATAATAGCGACAAGAGGCTCGACCAATAGCGACATCCGTTGTCCTTTATATCTTATCTGCTCTCTTAATTGTTGTTTCTCGCCTGGCTCAATAGATAGCGTCTCCTCCAGCAATTTAATTACGCATTGAAGATTAAATATGTCATTAAAATGTAGTTAAGGAAGAACTACTACGTAATATTGCGAAGGCAGTAGTTTTAGTCAACAATTTGGATATTATGTACCAGTGTTGAGGACATGCTTCAAACATTTTTGAGGGAGGGGGGACACATTTTTATGGGGTTATAAATTTTCAAAACAGGAGAGGCAGCACATATTTATAAGGTCATGAATTTTTGAAGGAAACCATATTTACAAGGAGTTATTGGGGTGGACTTCGAAACCTCCTAGCAATAAGAAAAAAAATCTGGTGTGTCCACTCACATGACTTTCCTACCTATTTTATAAAAGTTTTTATATCCTTACATATGTCCATCCTAGAACTGCGGGGATCAGCAAAATTTTCTAACATCTAGCGCATCCAATCCTTTCAGTCAAAAGTCCTTCGAACAATAGTCAATGCTCCTTTCTATATAACCAACAAAAACCCACATCATGACCACAACATCCCATTTGACCTAGACCTTATCCCAAAAAAATTCTCCAAATTTCACCAGAACCTTACGTACCACCCAAATCCTCTTGCAAAATCTCTATCCAACACCACCCATCCCTATAATCCTCCAAGGAGGTTAAAACGGCAGTGGCCCCGCGATCTTTCATAGTTTGTAAATATTGGAGTTCTGGCAATGGCCAGATTCTCCACTCACGAGAGGAGTGCAGGGAACTCCTGGAGTCATACTTTTCCCTCCACAGTTGGTGGGACAAGTCTGGTTTGGAGTTCTCTTACCAAATTGTATATAGGTGTGTATGTGTCCTTTTTATTTATTTATTTTTAGGTTATTTTATTCTTATTTATTGTATATACATTATTTTTCTGTATAATTTATTTTATTTATTGTACATAGAGTGTGAATGTGATCTGTGAACTCTATTTTAAATGTCCTAGAGACAGATTGTAATATTTTTCAATAAATAAGTTTTAGAAAAACAAAAAAAAAACGTATGTCCATCAAGAAGAAAAAAATGTATTCGATTTCTTTTCCTAAAAATTGATCAAAGATGTGAGTACGATTTATTTGATAAACTAAAGCAATATAAACCGGTTTTGGGTAGATCAGTTTAAAAATTTCCAAACCCTGTAATATTGCTGATCATAAACTTATAACCTAATTTTGTTAAACAATAATTTCTGTTAAACGTAAAGTTGATAGTGAAGCTTGCAACAGATGCGGGCAACAGATTTTCTTACTTTCACTTAGTTATCTTTTTTCTCTCTCATTCATCCCTTTCTGACACCAGGATATGTACCACCCGTAATCTTTCATTGGAAATTAAATAGCTGTCTGTAACTTTGTTAATTGTTGTCAGAAATGAACGATTTTTATGTAGTTTTGTACTCAGTGAGCTCTGAAACGTCGAAAACAGCATATTTGAAATTTGACCCGATCGCAATACTTTCCTTACTTATTGTAAGTAGGAAAGTAATAAGTGAACAGAATACGCTGTATCTTTGCTAATACTAGTTTTATTCTGATGATTTCTTTTTTTAAACTTGTTTCTTAGGTAACTTATTCACCTTTTAAAAGATGAGGTATAAATTTTACCGTAGAATATATACTTTATGAGTTAAACACAAAACATTTTTTTTTCTTTATAACTTTTTCCTGATTTTTTTCTGAGAAAAATTGAAAGGACATTGAGTAAAAATTATAGGAAAGTTTCTTAATAATCGTTAGAGCCGTTTTCGGCTTACATGTCTACGCCTATAAAAAATATTTCTCTCTTTTATTGCGCAGCCACTATTGTGCAGGGAACACTCAGTTTGTTTCACAGGCATCAGTAATCAAAACTTTACAAAATTGAAAAACAAGCAACAAAATAGGTCTAGTCGTTCGCGAAATAATTTTGACTCAGACAGACCAATGGCTGAAAATGTGTTTTTCAGACTGAGAGGGCTCTGAAACATAAACCCGATCGCAATACTTTCCTTACCTAGTGTTTCGCTTTGTACATACATTTGTGGCGTCTAGGGAGATCGATTATTGAAGTCCTTAATAAGTGACAGTTGAAATGTTTTGGACATGGTTTGTAGGAAAGTAAAAACGGTTGGGGAGGTACCAAGCGGACTAACGTGTTTTCAATACACAAGTTAATAATAATAATCTGATAACCTGGGTATTTATACGAGTTCGAGTCCCGATACCAGGGGCTTTTAACTTTAATTTTTATAGTTTTACATTCCTTTGCAACGTTTTTAAGAAGTGATAGCAATAAAATTTTTTGGGAGGGGCATTCACTATCGCCTTTAGAGAAAGATTGGCACCCCTGTCAGTGCTATTATAATGGTTCCCTTGAAAATTTAAAGAAGGGCTTATGTGCGTTTCGACCTTATTTATCGATTAAAAAACACAGTAAGAGCATTAATTAAAATGACACAAAATCTTTTATACATAAAATTTAGTTATAAAAAAGGCACATTTTTCTGATTCCACAAACCGAAAATTCCTTAATTTGAGATTATGAAATGGCACTTATTGACTTTTTGTTATAAACCGACTATATATAAGTGGATTTAAAAATAAAATTAAAAACATGTTAACTAATAATATTAGAAAGGGCAACTGTTTTTGTCTATTTTTGGTTGCTGACTCCTCCAGACTCTGTTGGTTTGGTTAATACATTTTTGTACATTACAAAAATGGTTAATAATTTCTTTTCTTGAATTATATTTGTCAAAAATTAATTTTATCAATGTTCAGACTAGTCGACTATTTTAATTTATAAATTTATTGTTAACACTTCATAAGTATTATTACAATATCATGTGCATTATTGATTCATATGAATATTATTTCTTACATATTTTTTTTTTCAGGTCAGAAGTTCCCTTTTCCTGTTTTGTAGTTGCATCTGGATATCGTAATGATTTCAGCGAGTGAGGTTTGTAGATTTTTTTTATATTTTACAATAATTTTCAACTATATGTATTTTAATTTTATTTCTTCAATGATTCAAAATCAATATATATTTCTATAACTGTAGCAAATTTGTTTTTTTTTAATTATCAGGTTGTTGAAATAACTTATGTTTTTCAATTTAAATTCAATTTAGAAGTATTACCTAGATGGTTGTGTTATCTTAGTAGTTTTGAAATAATCACATTATTGCCGAATCAACGCTGTTATTCATGTATTTAAATGTATTGATGTATTCAATGAAAGAAGCAAAGGATCTGTTGTGCGCAGAATGGAAAAGAACTGGATACATTTTTACAAATTTAAATCGTAAAACAGAAAATAAAGAGATTCACTTGACATTGAAACTTGTAATGAAAATGTTTAAAACTTTCCTTCAAATATAAAAGATTACATAACAAATATTGGAAATTTTTTTAGTGTTCTCACAGAAAACTAAAGCTCTTACAGGCTTCAGGAGGTGAGTTTGCATTAAATCAATATTACTGCCATTTTGCATTGAAGTTAAAAAGAAGCAATAAAAAGATAAAATTAGATAATATATTGATATGTATCGAGGATGGGGTTATGGCAAAATATAATAATTTTTATAAATAATAACTTAAATCCTGAAAAATTTCTAGAAATTTCAAATTAAGGGTTAACCATGAAAGCTATGATCAAGCCAGTTCTGATATATGGGTCCGAGATTCGGACACTAACCAGAATCCCAAAAAGGAGTATTGAAAGATTTAAGAGTAAAATCCTATGCATGATAACCGGGGCAACAAATGGAATGGAAGAACCAATAAAAACTTAGAGAAACTGTTGGATCAATATCTTATGATATGAAAGTAAGTGCATTAAGATTGGCCAGACATGTAGCTCGGAGAAATTGATCATAGTAGGCAAGAGACCACATGGAAGGACTAAAACCAGTTAGATCAGCCAAATCAACAAAAGTCCTTCAAATTTGCTAGGAGATGTGGTAAAAACAGATTCAGGCAATCAAAGATCGATGTGGTCTATAAAGTCAATAGAAAAAAAATTAATTTATATTTAATTAATTGTAAATCCTAAGAATATGAAAAATGAAGTTGGTAAAAAAGCTTGAATTGATTAACCTGTATACCACCACCATAGTTTCATTTATACAGATGACATAATGGTAATTGGAGATGAATGATTTGAAGAATTGAATAGATAAGGATTGAGTATATATCCTGATAAGAGCAAGGTTATGCATATCGGAAGGATATACTACCAGCTTATGATTAACTATTCTGGACCGATCTTTAAAATGGTGGATAATTTTTATTACTTGGGTACAAACTTGCTACCTACACATACTTTGTAAAACCGATTTGGTTTTATACTTCTCAAATTTTGGGTTCTGTTAAAAAGACACACAGAATAAGACTCCAAACTATTCAATCCAAAATATTTAGACTTATTACACATGCACCTCGATATATTTCTAACGCAACTTAACATACTGACCTTGGAATGGCCAAACTCACTACAAAAGATTCCATGACAATTTACAGAGAGATAACAATCAGCTAATAGTAAGAATGACCACTACTAAAATACTTGACAGCGTCATGAGGAGGCTAAAAGGTCGTGGATGAGCTGAATAGCTTTCTTAGCTGAATAGATCAGGAGATACTGAACATAATAAGAAAAGCTAACAAAATATTATTTCAAATGTCTTCAGCACTTACTGACAAACGAGTGATGAGCAAAGAGACAAAGCTACACTTATTTGAGTCTCTATTCTTACCTGTCTCTATTCTTCTGTATATATCATAAAGTTGGACAGTTCTGAAGAAAGATGTTAACGTAGCAAAAATGAGGTGTCTAAGAAAAGTAATGCATAAAACCAGATAGGAATTTATGAGAAATAACAACATTTGTGCCGTCTAGGGAGATCTGTTATTGAAGTCCTTAAGAAATGACAGTTGAAATGGTTTGGCCATGGTTTGTAGGATGGGAGATGACCGAAGGGCCTGTTGGCTGTTGGAAGCAATGCAAATAGGAAGATGTCCTGTTGGTAAACCAAGAGCTATAATGAATACACAGATGACCACTGGTTCAATGGTTCAACTTCGAACAATGGCTCTGGAGTGAGATGACTACTCCTCACCTAACAGTTCTAAGGAAATGGACAAAAAAAATTCTGTAGCAGGTGTGCATGGTAAATATATAGAGTATAAGTAAGTTTTCAATCCATAATACAATATATAACAATTATATTAAGTAGAATATATGCCATTTCTGTTACTCGTCTTATAAAAGTGGATAGTCAGAAATGAAACAATACCTTACGATTAGATAATACTTCAATATATTTATTTTAGTTCTCATAATCATATTGTGTCAATATCTTATAAAATTGATTAAATTAATAATGAAAGATTTATTTTTTCAGAATGGAGGATAAGAAGGGAGGGGGTAGAGTTTCTCAGATAGCCAACATATTCTCTTGCGGAGGAGGTGCAACTCGTGCAATGTCGCCAGGGAAGCTGGAAGGAGAGGGCGAAGGAGGTGGTGGTGGAGGAGTTACCGTCGTCAGGACCGAATCCCACCTTGCTCGCTTCAATAATGCTCGAGCGTTGTTTGAGAAATTAGGATCGACTGGTTAGTAAAAAAAACAGCATATTAAAAAATAAATGAAATAATTGTCTTTGTTTCTATTTTTTTAAATCTAGAGATTTATATTATGAAATAACAGATAATAATACATTTAAAAAATTACTAAATTATTCAGAAAAAACTTATTTACATTAACTATATATTTTTATTTATTTGTTGGCACCACACTTCCTACAAGAACCTAAACCTTTCTTATTATATTCCGCCACTCTCCTCTATCCTAGGCGAGCATTCGCCATCTTTGATTCTCATCCGTTTTAGGATGTCCTCCACCTCGTCCAGCCATCTTAAGCATGGTCTTCCACCAGGTCGATCCTGCCGCAGGCATTTGAAAATTGAGTCTTTGGGCATAATAAGCATTACATGACTCAACTATCTGATTTCATTACTCTGCACAATTAAAACCAATGCCGATCTCACATGAATCTGGCACAGTTCTTCATTGTTGTGAAGTTTCTACTGTCCATGTTTCCATACTAATAGAATCTCACGTCTCAGAAACATAGGTGCCGACAGATCTTATGACTTTCTGATAAACCATGATCTTTGTTCTATGAGAGAAGGACCTATAATTCATAATTTTTCGCATGGCAAAGCAGTGTCTATTCTCAGCATTCATCCTTGCTTTCAGTTCCTCCACATTTCATTATTGTCTATTATTAACATAAACAAATACTCGAAGGTTTTGATGGCTTTCTTGAAGTTATCTTGCAAATAGTCTCTTATTCATTTATTTATAGCCTTAGTTATTTTGATGCTGTTTCAAATTTTTCAAGTGTTCCTACAAACACTGTTTTATTTCTTGTCAAAATTATGGCTCTTATTGCATACTCTATATCAATATTAATTAGAGTAGGGAATAAAGGATCACCTTGTCTAAGTCTTTCTCTGATCTCGAAATCCTCCGACAACAGACCATTCATCTTCATTATCAATCTACTGATGGACGTATACACTGCTTAGACTCATTGTTGCCAGAGTGACCAGTTTTTTGGAGGTCCCAAATTTATCATTATCTTCAGTAATTCTTCCCTGTTTATATCTTATATAGTTACAATAAAATAATGTATTGAAATCATTAAATTAAAGATCTGGAATATGAAATTCCATACTAATTAACAACTATATTTATACGTTTTCATAAACATATATATTTAAATATATCTAAGTGATTGGCATTTAAAAAAAAAATTTAATAAATTAATAAACTTTTAAAGGTAACCAAGAAGACCCACCTCCACCTGTTAAACCAAAGAAAATTATTGTAACGGAACCGAAGATTGAACCAACCCAGGTAATTCTAGTTTGATAAAAATCTAATTTTAAAAAATATATTATTATTGACGGTATTATTCGTTATACTGTTGTTTAATTTTCCTGTCATAACTAATGAAAAATCATTGCAGAAGTTACCTTTTCCATTTTTCAGAAGGAAAAAAAATCTTTCAGTGTACTACCATTTTTTCAATAGTAAGATTACAAAAAAAAAAGAGAGGAATATTTACCTACTCTGTGTGAATTCATTCACCTTGGAGCATCAAAATCTGTGGATTTTTTTTTTCTATTTTATCCCTTTCAAAAGCAGGATATCTCTATTTTGAGAGGGGATTGAAATTTATGGAGAAATAATATTTTAATTACCTGGAGAGTTATAATAACTGCTAAATTAAAAATTTACTTCAAAGCAATGTCATTAATTTTTGTCAAAATTTTAAATTAAAATAGTTTCTATAAGTGAAAGTCAAAGTGAATAGAAAAGGTTATATGTTTAAATCATCAGTTACTTTCAAAACTTTTTACTATAAATACTGTATGTCATTAAATTCATCATTATAATGTATAAAGTGCTCTTATTTTTGTGCTCATATTTGAATTATATAAGAAAAATAAATATCTTTAATCTCAGTTTCAACCAAAACTCCATACAACATACAATCCCCTGAAGAAGACCTGCAAAGTCGGATCGAAATCTTGGCTTTGAATAAAATAGTTTTTCCACTATTTTAGTCTTTTTATGACTGTCACTCTGGACCATCTTCTTACTCAAATATCTTTAATGTACTTATAAAAATTTAATACTTTTAACAGTAGTTAATTATTCCAAGCAAATTGATGATTGTTCAATTGTTTTGTTTGCGCATTTTTTGGATTAACTCATAGGTAACTAAAAATAAAAGGGTTACCAAATAATTCTCTATGGTAAATTAACAGGTACTTAGGCAGTAAAAATTCAACCAAAACAGTTGAAAACAAAGACAAGTTAGAACAATGATCTTTATACCAAAGAAGAAGGTATTCTATTTTGCTTAAAACATTTGAATACATAAAATAATTTTATATTTTGTCCATGGTACAGACTTATCGAATTATTAACATCCGGTTCAAACTTCGTAAATAACTTCATCTCATAGTAACCTACAAATATTTTATTTACGAAAATTCTCGGAATCGGCGCATTTCAATCTCAATGTGAAATGGCTCAATACTTTTGAAGGCCACCTTTTTTCTTAACTTTGTACTCAAGTTATCTTACGATTAAAGTGGTAAGGATTGGGTATTTATGAGTTTTTAGTACCTAATTAAATAGGAAAAGTTTGCCTACTTCTAGATTGAAAACGTCCCAATTCCGACAATTTTCGTAAATAAAATACTTTTAGGTAACTATGAGATGAAACTATTTATGAAGTTTCAGGCCAATGTTAATAATTTGATAAAAAGGGGTCTGTACCACGGACTGATTGTTTTATTAAATAATACTAAGGCTCTCCCAACCTTTCCAAATGTTAGAAGATAAATTTCCTATTACCACATTATTTATGAATAAATAGTTCTTTCTGATGAAAAACTAAACCCCAGACCCTCTGTGGTTTTTATTACTCTCTGATGTATTATTACTCTCTGAAGTATTATTCCTCTCAATCTGAATGATTAAATGAAATATTTTAAAGTGGAATTACCACTGTATATGAATTAAGTGATCTTGCTTTTAAATTTAATATTGTCTGTTTTATAATTTTATTTTTTAACGATATAATTATTTTGTTTTTTAATTTCTAAACCTATAGTTTGGTTAATTTTTGATTAGGTATTACGTCAAGTAAATGGAGGAGCTATTGTTAGAGGATTACATAATGGTACAACGACTGGTGAGAAACCCGCAAAACCTGAAAAACCTGAAAGAAAACTCAATTCCAGAGAACTGATAGAAAAACAAAAGAATTGGACCTCTCATTTTACAAAATCAAGAACAAATCTTCCAAGGTATGTTCGGTATCAATAACAATTTAGCCTTAGACTGATTCAGTGATTTATAAGAATAATTTCGTACTTGCATGAATTTTTAATTTGTATTCATCGGTGAAAATGAGGTTATTGCAGTACAAACATAAAAAGTCCTGAATGTTTCTGATACGTACAGGGTCATTTTGATAATCTGATCCTGTAGTAATCTAAAATCTATGGTAATCCAACCAAGAAAGAAAAAAGTTAAAGTTGATTGATGGGAGATATAATGGAAATGGGTCAAAATCGTATTGTGGTGTTAATAAATGTAAAACATTAAAACTATGCGATCATCCAGAAGTCGAGATATCTCTTACTATGTAGTTTTCGCAGCAGAGATCATGAGGGTTTCTAATTTTCGGAGATCTATTAGCTGAAAAGTCAATGTTTTTCTTTAATAATTTTTTAAGAAGGATCATAAAACAGATTTTAATACCAGAAAACTTTGGCTTAATAATTTCAAAGCAGGTATGAAATACATATTTCATTTCACTGCAAAATTTCTTTAGACACATTTTACTTTTCATTTTAGATAATTCATAGTAATTCCATAAAGGCATTAAAATACTTGCTTCGAGGGGACGAATGAATACAATATTGACTAGTCAAGTGAATAGTCGAGACTCAAATTACAATTTATGATTATTTTCAGAACTAATATTTTTGTTTGCAATGTGTTTATATTTATCTAATAACATATATATTATCGTTATCTTATGCAATTTTTCCATCATTTTAAATGCAACCTTTGACAATTTAGATAATCCCAATATACAATGCAAGCTATGTGTTCGAATTATCAAGACCTGTATTTAAGAATAAAGTTTAAAAAGTAGATTTTTTTTAGACTTTTAAAATAAGAGTTAAAAATGTAGCTACACTGATACTAACGTACAGTTAAGAAAGCATGTCATAAGAATTTTCTATGATGGAGACAAATTTTCCATTTAAATTTTAAATTAAATTATATATTCCCTATCAATGGAATATTTTTAATTATTCCAATCTATGAAGTTAAAAAAAAATAAATTTGAAAACATTTTCTGTACTGGTAAAAATTACCATTGTTTGTTTAAAGGCAGTTCACAAAGTTTCTCATAAGAAAATAAAACCTCAAAATATGTCTCTGCTTGTAGCTTATACAGGAAGAAAATACTTTTTTATTCGTATAATTTAAGAATTAGAATTAAAATATTTTTTGATTTAATTAAAAATGTTTTCTTAGGTATAACAGTGATCCTAAGTGTGAAAACAAATCTCCAATCAAAAAAGGCAATGATCCTACCAGGAGTTCATCGTTTAATTTACCTAACCGAGAAGATCCAAACAGGTTTGAATTATTTTACATATATATTTTTAAAAAATAATTATTATTATACTTAGAGAAATTTTGTAAAACCTAGTTCTCTCTTTATTTCCGATTATCTATGTATTAGGAGGACTGGAAAGTAATGTCATTTTCTTACATTAAACTCAACCACATAAATTTCACACATTTTTTTATTTTTAATCAATGATGAAATCACTCTCATTATCAACAACCTTTTGCCATCTAGCGTGAAAATTTTCAATGCAGGATCGATAAAAATCAATTAGCTAGGGGCAGCTCAGTGGGTGAGCACTGACTTCCAGAGCTCAAGATCCCAGGTTCGAATCCGGCTGATCACTAATAGTTTTTCATCAGCTGTGGGTCGACCCTGGGGCCGAGAGACCCTCCAGTGGCAAATCGCTGGGTTAATTAAAAGTACCCATTTTATAGAGGCTGCTCTTAATTAAATAATTATCGAGGGGAAAAACCTGACGGTTGAGTGTGATATTGGTCTGTCACCTTCCTGCACAATGTTGTCCTTGTTTACTTCCTCCATTTTTAAACATACAGTATAGTATGTTTCCGATTTAAAAAAAAATTAAATTCAGTAAAATTATGAAAAGTGGTTTGAATTTTTTCATTCTATATCATTGGACACCATACCAGTACAGTTTTTTGTTCTAATGTTCTAATAATGATTTTATTTATTTTTGTTGGTTTCAATAATTCAATTCAAAATTATATTAAAACACTCAAATATCTTTAACTGTTCTAATAGTTATTTCCAATTACTATAAATGACATCAAAACTTATGTTGATATCAATTTTCAATATAATTTATGTTATTTTTTTGCTGCAAAAAAAAAGCAGAATGGAACGGTAGACAAGAACTTTGTTTCACCAAGAGTCAACGGTGATATTAAAAATATTGATTTTTCTATTAATAGGGCTCCTATCATCCAAGAAGAAATAGCAGCTGTAAGAGAAAGGCTCGTCGCACCACCAGCACCTCCAGAAACTCCTCCACGGGTATCTCCTGCTGTTAGCCCGCTGAGAGAGCATTTGCCTATCACAAGGCATCCACCTCCTCCACCTCCTGTCATAAGTATGCATTTTTCATGTTGTTTCTTTTGAATATTTATTTATATATTTTGTGATGTTTTTGAAAATAAAATAGTATTGTGTAGGATATTTAGATCGAAGAAGGATGAGTCAACTGATGGATTTAGATGGTTACACAACGCTGAATTACGTGAACTTTTCTTTTTTTTTTTTTCGACTACTCCATACCTCTTTTTTCTGGCATTCAGTAAAGGGGGAGTGTTCTGAAGATAGAACCAAATCTGTTCGAACCAGAGTGGGGAGGTCGAGATTCATTCCGTTGATCCGTCATGGAATAAATTTCAACCAGTTCAGGCCGGATTAGAACCGTAACTAACTACTGAATTATATGAACTGTATCCAGTATTGTTTTTTTTTCCTGCGGCAAGAGTGCACTACCGCCATGTAGGCCTATTGTACGCCTAGTTTGAAGTCACTTCAGTGTAATTCCTGCAGCCTCTATGAACTGTAATAAGCTTGTTGGATTGATAAGTTCGTTTGCCTTGGGATCCTTCTCCCTATCAGTGCCGAATAAACGAAATCTTAGGTCAGCAAACCCATCGCACCAGCAAGTGACATGATACGCTGTCTCGTCCTCCCGGCCACAGTGCCTACAGAGAGACGACTCTGTGAGCCTGAGTTTGAACATATGATAATTTAGTTTACAGTGCCCTGTATATGCTGCTGTAATTTTCTTAAGTGAGCTCCTACTCAAATTAATTAGTAAGTTGGTTCTTTTTTGGCAGATTCCTTCCAGAAACAGTCTTGATTGGGTCTGCTTTTTCAAAGACCAGTTCCTTTTGTTTTAAGCACCATATATCTCCCCGATTCTGTTTATTGTCAGACACTGACTAATACCACAGATGGGTTCCTGAGCTATTGGTGTTGTTTGAGAGCCTTGTCTGGCTAGTTCATCAGCAATTTCATTTCCATGAATTCCTGAGTGACCCGGAACCCATTCAATGTATACCTTATTAAGTCTAGACAATTCGTTGATAATTCTAAGACAATCCCCAACTACCTTGGATCTAGTTGTATAGTTGTCCAGTGCTCGTATGGCCGCTTGACTGTCCGTATATATTGCAATTCTCCTCCCAACTAATCTGTCAAGCAGCATTTTTGAAGCACAGTGAGTTATTGCCAGTATTTCAGATTGAAACACTGTTGCGTAATTTCCAAGTGCTATTGACATGCTCGCCTCTGGTTCGTCCTTTCTCCAGAAACCAGCTCCAGATCTGCATGTCATAAGTGACCCATCGGTGTAACATTTGATCCCATTGACGGGCTTATGTTTACCTGAGCTGTCTATTTTAACATTATACATCTTTGTGAGAAATTCTCGGGTTTGAGTGTCAGAATGCATTGTAAGCAGTCTGTCAGCCTCAATTTTTCTAATTATTCCGTAATGCCCCTCCAGGGTAACTGTATCCAGTAAATATAATAAGGTTATTACATTTTTACCAATTTATGCATTTCTGGGTTTTACTTAAAAGTGATTAAATACTAACTGCGCCATGCAGCTCAACCCACATTGGATTAAACATTTCTACAACCTAATTTTATTAAAATCGAATTTAGTGTATTTATTAAACTGAAAGAAAAGGCATTATATCATCCGATTAAATAAACTAAAACCTAGAAAAAAATTTAGTACGTTTTAGCATAACCATCATGGAATGAGCTTATCACCACACAAGCAGATGTGTGCCATATTATGTTTCCTCTTCAACCGCAGCCTTGTTTGGCCTTTTCAGTTATATTCAAAGCATCCATGTATTCTATAGTTTTAACTTTATCTGTCTTCAGTTTCCAAATTGATTGTATTATATCATTTTTGCTTTGTTCCTTCGGGTCCTATATTTGATAATCTTAATACTTTTCTCAATAATTATGAATTATTGAACTATCAATTATTGGAAATAAAATTTCAAATTTTTCAATTATAAATAATATATCTTATTATTTCTGTTACGAAAAGGTAAAAGAGAAGAAAAAGAAGCCGAAGAAATTAAACCTGTTCCTCGGGAAAGAGTATTCATATCACCATCAAGAGTTGTAAGTTGTTACTTAATTAATTTACTTTTAACTGAGAACTAGTTACTTAGTTTATTCTATATTATGATCATGTTATACTATTATATTATTATTATTATTATTATGACTGTGTTCAATTTTTTTTTTTTTTTTTTTAGAGTATAGAAGATCTGAGTAGAGAAAGGAGGGAACGGTCAAGGGATGGCATTTACCAGATCACTCCTGCGACTGTTTTACCTGCCTCTGTTGAGTCGAACACTAACTCTTATCCTTCAATTGATTCTCATTCACCAAATCTCAACGAGATGTATGTATTTTTTACTATGATGTATCTTTTTCAAATAATTATATTAATACAATTGACACAAAACAGTCATAGTCCACAGTAAAGATTCCTTTTTATCAAATTATTAACATCTATCTAAAACTTCATGAATGGCTTCATCTTATCGTAATCTACAACTTTTTTATCTAATAAAATTCTCAAAAATTAATTAATTTAATGAGATACTATAAACTTATGAATACTCATTTATTTTCCACTTGAATCGTAAGATAATTTGACCTCAAAATTGAGAAAATAAAGTGGCTAACAAAAAATATTGGTCCATTTAGCCTATTTAAAATTGTTATTTTTTTTTTCGATTTTGTGATCATATTAAATTACGATTCAAGTGGAAAGCAAATGGGTGTTCTCGAATTTTTAGTACATCGTTAATTAGACAAAGCTTATCGATCTCCAGAATAAAAGCATCCCATTTCCAAGAATTTTCGTAATTAAAAAAGTTTTGGTTTACGATAAGATGAAGCCATTCACGAAATTTTAGACGGATGTTAATAATTTGATAAAAAGGAATTTGTACCTTGTACTATTACTTGTGTCAGATTAAATATGACATTGAGCAATCACAGACAGCACAATTTATAGTTGTGTATAGCAAGCACCATTTGCTAATTCTATATACAGATGCATGAAATTAGCTCAAATGCAGGAGCCAGCAGAATTCTAGATTATTTTATGTGCCAGAATAGTGAAAAGCTAGGTTATAGAGACATAACTGCATATTTTTATAGATTATATATATGTGGTTTGTACATTAACTATATTTTTTATAATCTCATTTTGTTATTTTTCTAATAAAAAAATTATTTTTAAAGCAGTCGAGAGAAGGCTCAGCCACCCGAAGAAGATGACAGCTGTAAAGGTGTTATTAAGTTCGCCGTCGGAGAAGAGACCCAAGTAGGACCAGCTAGTGTGACTATGATGAGTGGCTCCCTTTCAGAAGAAGATTCGGGATTTGCCAGCTCCGAAACTGTTCCTGCTCAACCCCAAGCAATTAAAGAAGCAGTAAGTTCAATTTCATATTATAGTTCATTTCAGATAGGAATATGAGAAGGAGTTGGTCGGGAGATGCGTTCAAATAAATATTAAATTAAAAAAAAAATAGTATTTTTAATTAATTCACAGATCTTCATCAGGGCTACAATAGATACAAAATATAAAAGGTACATGGTGAAAATAAATTAAATGAATTATAAGTAGATATTAAATAAGAAACAGTTCTGTGATAAAGCAATAATAAGATTACATAAGAGATATAGTGGGTGACAGTGTATTATTGCTTTATCAGACAACTGTTTCATATTTAATATCTACTTCTTCTTCTTTATCTTTTCCTCTTCTACCGCTGAGCGGTGTGAGGAGTAATATCTACTTATAATTCATTTATTTTATTTTCATCATGTACCTTTTATATTTTGTATCTTTGGGTAGTACTGATGAAGACCTGCAAGGTGGGTAGAAACGTCGGCGAAACAATTAAAAATACTATTTTTTTTTAATTTACTATGTATTTGACCTCACCCTCTGACCAACTCCTTCTCACATTATATCATGGTCAACCATATCTACATTATCAGATAAGAATAAGTTACTGTCATTCATAAGTGAGATTATTTCTATAATCCTTTTTTCTTTTCTTAGGACTGTTACTGAACTATTTTATTAGCTCAATCTAGTGATATGATATTCATATGTTGCTTTAATAATAATATATTATCAATGAAATTAATATATAATTAATTCCAGGAAAATACTGAGAGTTGGGTGAGTGAAAGCTGTCTTGCTACTAGCGATTCTAGAGAACTGTTGTCGTCCGGCCATACTCCAATTGAAGATAAGTCGGATGAAATACAGTTTATCGATCAGGTAATAATCAATATAAGTGTATTTTTATGATTTTTCTATTCTAAGAAATGAAAATATGGTTAGTATTTATTTTTAAAGATTTTTTTAAATAAAAAATTTATTAAAATTGTTACATTTCAAATTTTTCAAAAGTTTTCTTTTAATTTTAGTCTGTCATCTTTAGATTAAAAGTATTTATAATGACTTTTTTCCTTAATTAATTTTAAAGAAAAAAAAAATAACCACTTTCTAACTAGAATAAATTTAAGATGGAATTAGTCAGGGGGAGGGGAGGGGACGTGGGTGCGGTCAAATAAATACTAAATTTTTAAAAAATAGTATTTTTAATTTAATTAATTTTTTTTTTAAATTCAGTATTTAATTGACTGCGCCCCTGACCAACTCCTTCTGATATTATATCACGGTCAACCATCTCTACATCATTAGAATAAATGTAGTCATGAGAATAAAAACAAATTTTTGAATGATAAATGATTTTAAAATATCCATTAATTTATTCAAGCAATAAGTTATAAAATTTGCAATTAATCAGTAAATAACTTCTTGTTGGGATTGTTTATAAATAAATTTGAAAGTCCTACTAAAAGTTTAGACATATCTACGTTCAGGAACATTTTTAATGTAGTATCATATTGTAATGTCTGTGGGATAAAACTTATCAATAAATGTATGAACCTTTCAGTTGACATGATAGCTAACTCCTATTTCAACATTTTTTAGTAAAGTCATTTTAATGACATTTCTTGTTGGAAAATTGATAAAAATTAAGTGACAGCTTTACTCTCGCAACAATTTTTTCTTTATTTTATGACATTTTGGGACACTCTACTATCCCATCTTCTGACAATATCTTATCCTTCTATCATCTTATTTTTTTAAAAACATTTGTTATAATTTTTTTTTTTTTCATAATTCATCCCTCTTAGTTTAGTTCATCCAGATTGAAAACGCCACAAATCTGAGGATTTTCTTAAATAAAATCTTTGTAGGTTACGATGAGAAGAAACTATTTACGAACTTTCAGCTGGATGTTAATAATTCGATTAAAAAGGGTCTATACAACGAACTATGTAAATTTTGCTACTAGAAATATCACTAAAATTAATAATCAAAAATGTTTAAATTGGAGTTAGTCATTCTGTCAACTGAAAGGCTCATATAAGAAACTTATAAACAGTTGGACACACTAATCATGTCAAAAAAAAAACAGTTTTATATAAGAGTTACACATTCATTGCTATGTTTTAAACAATTAAAATCAAATCAGAAATTTTAAATAAATATATTTCTTTAACTGTTTTCAAAAAATGTTCATCAAGTAATGTTTTTAAATAAAACTTGTTTCATTAGAGTCATACTTTATTATTCTATAAATAAAAGATTATTTGTAATTGGTAAATGGTTGACTGTCGTGAAAAGATTATTTACTGTCTTCAAAAGATTATTTGTTAACATTTTTTTAAAATTCAGGTTTTAATTGAATACTTGAATGAATTTTCAGTTTTCATTTTTCGTTGAAGATGAGATTATAACAATAAATATGTAAAAAGTCCTGAATTCTTTCTAATGCATGTTTGCAAAAAAAAAAAATGTTAGTGTCAAAGAAATAAGGTGGGATTCGAGCTATGTCATAAGAATGGAACAAGTGTAAATAAATAAAATCATACCTAATCGAATTATAAAATCATGGCATAAAGATTTAAATATATCTGTACATATATTATTTATTAGGACTCATATTATATGAATAAAAGTTAAATGTGAACTGTAAAAAAATAAAGAATAATACCTTTGAATTGTGGAAAGTTTTTAATAATACAAAAGTTTAAATTTTGCTATTGATTACAAAAATATTAAAGAAAACAATTAGGTTAATAAGACTTTTGGACAAATAATTGACTAAATTAGATTTATTGATAGTTTTGTTGTATTGTTTTACGGAACCTTTAGCAGTTGTTATTTAAAGGCTAAGGTAAACATTTAAAAAAAATATATTGTTTATAAACATTTATTTCCTAAATCAAATTAGAGAGTGGACAGTATTGGTTTAGTGGAGATAAGTTAGAATAGAATTAGAAAGGAAAATGCAGTTTATGGCTTGTTTTATATTGGTAATTATGATTTAATAATTTTAATTAAAAAAAAAATTGTTGTGTTACATGTATCGCTAGTTTTGGCATTATTGAATAAATTACAAGTAAATTATTTATAAAATTGCCTGTAGCATAGAAAGATCTACCCGTCTTATTTTTTTATTTTTCTTCCAGAGTAATTACCATTATTAATATATATATATATATATATATATATATATATATATATATATATAACACCCTTTCCAAAATTTAATCCTAGATCCGTTAATGATCAATAGTAATAGTAGAATTTTAATTTTTGAGTCAACTTTCATCCATTGTTTACCCTCTCAAAATCATTTGAAGACAATTATACTAAATGCCAGGTTTAGTACTTTTGCATATCAACCAATTTTTTTATAATTTTTGCTATTTTCCTTGATTTAATTTATTTAAGCATTGATCTTAATTTAATGAGAAGGAAAGTAGTTTTAAAGTATTTATTACTTAAAAAACATAAATAATTGTTTTAAAAACACAAAATCATCCCAACCCTCTCGTTTCTAACCTTCAATTCCTGATAACCCTCCGAGGCGTCTGAAAAGAAGATGGCCCCGTGATCACCTAATGTAAACATATCATTAGAGTGCTACCATTGGGTAGTTACTCAGCAAGTGTTTTTCATGTCATTATATACATTATGTTCTAATTTACTAGATGTATTTATTAAATACAGTTGTAAATGTCTTTAAGAACTAAAAAAAAAAAAAAAAAAAAACTGTAATAATTATTACAAAGTAAGGTACAGAGAGAGAAAAACAATCACCATTTATTGTATATTGTGAATTTTCTCTCACTAACATCATCGCAAATAGACTTAATACCATCTGCTTGGTATATCTCTGATGTAATGCATGGCATACAAAAAACTAGATATGGGATCTGGGTATTGTTAAAAATTATCTCTTTTGAGATTAACCATATTATTATTATTTTCTGAATCAATTCCGTCTCATATTTTGTAATAGAAATATGTTTTGTTGTGTTAACATATTTAATCATTTATCTTAATAATAAATGCTCATGTTTATTGGCGATCTAATATCTCTCTTTGGATTTTGTTTTGGTTGTTTACTTTTTTTCATTTATAAAACTGTATATTAGATGAGACATTTCATTGCCAAACAAACAGTAAGCCGAAACCTGGCACAATTTCACAGTTACTAAATATACATCATAAATAGCTTCAATTTATTCAAAACCTTAGAATGTGCTGCATCACAGACGAAGTAAGGTTTACAATTTTTTTTTGTTTAAATAAATATTTCTTGTTACAAATAGTGATTGTTTTCCTCAACTTTTAGTGTACTTTGATCTTGAAGGTATTTTCGAAATATACTAATTCTCTTAATTTCAGTTTCGAAATGGTTTAAAAGTTTTGTAGAAATGAACTTAATTCAGTTTCAATATAGCTGTTAAATAAATGTATTTACTTATCTCCTAATTTATTGTCAAACAATGATGACAATGTATGAACATTATTTTTTAGTGAAACTTGAAATATATATTTATTTATTCTTTACTTAAATTTTTTATCATTATTAATAATAAAATAATGTAGTATCTTTAAATATGAAGAATTTCAATAAATGTATGTGTTGTATACAGTGTTGCCATTAGTCAATAACAAATCCTTGTTTCTTAATTCTCGTACATCCTTGTACTCCGTGAAAAGTCGTTCAACTATTATGTGCTGATGGTGTTGTTTTTTAATAAAATTAAATTATAGGTTTGTTTATTAGCTCAAGGCATATATTTTAATCCTTTTTTAATTCTTTTTTTTTTTGTGGTATGAAACAATTTTAACAAAACATGTAAAAGTACATATATTTTTATAAAATATTGGACAACTTTCTATAAAATTAAATAAGGCAAAATAAACTTTTTAAAACAATTGATATACATATTGCTATTAAAACTCAAGTGAAAAAAATTATTTTGACTAGATAGAAGTTAGAAACTAGATAACATTTTGCAGAAATAAATCCAGACAAATAATTTTTTAAAAAAGCATTAAATTTATATTCCCCTTAATTTAAACTAAAAAAGAAAAGTAAATATAAGTAATTACAATAGTTAAAATAGTTGTTTAACAAATTTACACTTTATTTATAAAATTATTATCTTGTATGTGTTTGCAAACCTTTTGTGCTAGATGTGTTGTTGATCAAACTTATTTATTTATTTACATATGTAATTTTATTAAATTATGTATTTATTTATTATTTTTCTTTTCTGTTGCTAGTTAGAAATTCTATAAGTGTTTTTTTTTTTTTTTGCTGTTTATGTAGGCAATTATTGCTTTTGCCAAATTCTATTCTCATTTTCTCTATTTTTTCATTTTTATTTTGAAATAGCATTGAATAATTATATATAAAAATATACTGTTTTGCCTTATTAATATTATAGAATAAGTATGTACACATACGTATGTGTATTTTTTTTTTCTTTTGAAAAATTGAAAGCAAAACTATTATTTTTGAGAGGAAGAAAAAGTCTAATGAAAATTCTTATTAATGAACAATCCCTAATATCAAATTTAAAATTAATATTATTCCAAATAATTGATTTATTAATAATTTTCTTTTCTTAAAAAAAGTCTCTTGTTATTCTTCCCTTTTTTTTTATGTATATGATTTTATATTTTTATTAATGGCTATGTTGATTAAGTATTTCTGTGTTTAACATATTATTTTACTTTAAATTTATTTTATTCATTATAATTATTTTAATTTTACTTAATTTAATTAATTTATATATTTTATAAATATGCTATGTTTCCACTCTTTTTTTTTTTTCATAATAATTATCATCCTTATTGCGCCAGAATGCTATACTACTGAATATAACAATTTTAACACATTAAAAGAAAAGATAAATTTCAATTTGTTTGTCATGCTAAGTTGTTCTTAATGCTTATTTACTATTCTAAAGTGATTTTATCCCAAAATAAAGTTGTTTTTTTAATTCTAATTTTCAATCATTAGTTTCTTAGTTATATTATGAAAAAATATAAAAAAAAAAGAAAGTAAAAACATTATCACACTGAAATTAGTTCACATTAATTTAATTTCTAATTATTATTCTAATTTGCTGGCAATGAATTGAGGAGCACAGCCATATAATTCACAACACAATCGGAGCATGAAATCAAGTATTGTAGAGGCCTTGGTTGTTAGCTAATATATTCTACTTTTTGAATCCAAGGAGATTCATCATTTAGTTCTGCCTTGTTTTCTTTAACTAGTAAAATAACAGTTTAGTACAAAGTATCTTAGGTTTCTCTATTGTGTATAGTCATATATATTTTTAACTGCAATAGGTGATTTTTTATTTAATGTTAAAGGAGCAAGATGACGATAAGGCTGTCGATACTTCACTCATGACCCCTGCGGAAGCTGATCAACTTCTTAGTACGAGGTAAATAACAACAATTTACTAATGATTGCTATTAGCTTTATAATTTAAATAATTCGATGAAAATAACTAATCTTATTTAATGTTTGATATGACCAAACAGGCTTTTCTGTAATTCATAATATTTCTCTTTGCCTATGTACGATTAATGTCAGCTGTTTCTAATTTTATATGCTTAATGTTTTTGTTTGTTTATTTTTTAAGTTTTAGTTTTATTAATATTTGTCTTATGCATTTATGACGTTCTCTAGATTTGTGCTTGGACTTGGTGCTTTCATTGAGTTTATTAATTGCTTGATTTTCATTTATTAATGTTATCTATTATTCCAATTACATCTTTTTTGATGTTAAATAATAAAACAAAATATTTTATTCTATAAACTGGTTATTAAGTAATATTAACATTTTTAATCTTTGTATTACCAGTTCATAATGGTCAGTGAACGAATGGTATATGAGAATAATTAAATTCAATGTGTTACCAGAGAAAGGAATTGATCATCTTTTCCATGGTTAATTACAATGGTTCATTCTAATTATTAAATAAGACCGATACTTATGTAAAAATTACAATCATCTGCATCTTTGCTAAATATGGTTTGATTTGGATAATTTTTTCATTATGGAACTTGGAAACATTTCCAATTATCATGAGTATAAACAATCATAAATTGTATACTTTTTGAATTTTGAGCAAATAAATTGTTTCTTTATAACTTTTTTCTTAACATTTCTGGAGGATAGGCTTCTTTTTTCCCATTTGAAGGAGAAGATAATCTTCAAAATGATGCCTCAATCATTTGATTTGATAAGGAATAATGGAGATATGGTATTCCTCCCAAAAAAATAAATAACAATAAAACTTAGAGACCTATAATTTAAAGATTTAATTATTAAACAAAACATTGTTAATTAATATATTTTTGGCATATATTGATACATTAAATACATGTGTATGTATTTAACTTGTTACAATTCAATTGATCATATCCAAAAGCAATTAATTAATTAATTAATTAGAATCGAAATTTGTTTCATTTACAGATAAATAAATAAAAGAATTTTCAAAGACTTTTTTGGACTTAAAGTAAGTGAAAATATTGAATAGTTTTTTTAATAATGAATAATAAAAAATAGAAAAACTGTTCTTGAATTGTGTTCTTTTAGCAAAAAAAGTATTAGGCCGTATTTAATTTGATTAAAACAGTTATTGTAAATTATAGTTTTCTATCAAAATATTGCTACCTCATTTAATGTGTCTATTCTGTAAGTACAATATATTCGAAGAGGAGAGAGAATGTAACTATAAACAATTTTTAGTTGTGTCTCATTAATTTTAAATGTGCGATATATTGTTAATAAGTCTATCGGAAGACATTAATATATGAATAATTGAACTTAACAAGTTTGCTGTTGAGTAACATTTCCAAAAATGGTTCCACCACTCCTATCCCCAAAGAACATGTACAAGAATATACCTTCAAAGAACATAAAAATACTACGAGTTTGATTGTATGTGGCGTAGGTAAAGCAAAAATATTCTATGAATTAATTAATTAGCTACCACCTATGAGATAACTCGTTGTTGGCAGCAAATGTGTTAAAAAATTGTATTAATTACCATATTATTTTACTATCCTCAAGATAGTGTGAATAATATGATGAATATAATTTTAATTTGATATTATTCATCTATAAATCTGTAAATAATGTTTTTTTATTCAGTTTTAAAACATAAATTATCTCCATTTGCGGGATTGAATGGTGAAGCTCACTGAAAAAGAATTGAGTATGTATTTCAAAATTTTCTTTGAATTTGGCATCTTATGAAACTTATTCTTTACTAAATTTGAATAGTGCATACAAATCTTTTAGCTTTCTAAATCCTCTTCTGACTCCTTGCACATTTCTAGCAGAAGATTATATGTAATGTATATAGGCTGCTTATGTATTGCATGTAATTGTATACTAACATTGCTTGTTTTTTTCCTGCTTCTCTTTCTCGTCTCCAGGATAGTCGAAAACAGGACAGGGTAAGTTTTACTGATTAATTTTTGTTTTAATTTACGATTTAAAGTTTTTAATATAATTATTTATTTATAGGAAAAATTTTAAAATTCTATTATAAACATATCGCACTATATGTTTCAAAAGTCCTGTAACAAACTTGGTTTTAAATGAAATTGATGCATATATTTCTTCTGGATTATTATTTTAATTTTTTGTATAAGTTTGATTATTTTACTCCTCTAAGTCCGGGGTTACTAAACTTTATTAATCTGCTGATCCCCATATAAACATTTCAGTTGCTGATTCCATTCCAAGCTATACACTTTTGTTCTTGGGATTTGATCTTTGGATCAATCATCTCATATTTCCAGACTGAAAAATATTTATTATTTATTATTTATGAAATAACAAAGAGAGACTAATATTCAAATATTAGTTTCCCACCAAACTTGCCGGACGCTCAATGAATATTCGTGGGTTCACCAAAAAAAAAAAAATAAAAGTAATGAAGAATCAATTAAATATTAATAACTTGTATTTATAGTAATAATATTACTAACAAATATTTAATTGTTTGATCTTTGGAAAATAGTGAAAACCATACTTTGGAAAATAACTATACTGAATTAAAAAAAAAAAAAGATTTGGAAGGGGAGCGAGCTACAAACTCGGAACCTATTGGCTTAAAAACATCTGTTAATGTCCCTCATCCCACGAATAGAGTTTTACAATTCCTTATTAAACCCTAACAAAACAATATAATAGATAAATAAAACCTGAAAACAAGTACAAAAGAAAAAGAATAAAATAAAAAAACTATCTATCATTAATACTGATAATCAATTTACTTATTTCTATTTCTATTGACAAAAATAACAGTTAAAGGAAATGGCATTATAGCCCAAACGTAGCCAATGTGAAGGAGAAATGAAAATAAATATGGTGAAAAATACAGCCTTTCTTTATATAGTAAAATATGATTTCACTTAATATATAAACATACATGGAAATGAAAATTATAAACAAGAAATTAGATTTATAAGAAAACAAGAAAAGACATTAAATTATCAAAGAAAAGAATAAGAAAACATTACAAAACTAAGCATTAATTTATGATTATACTATGTACTAATTATTCATGTTTGTAAAAAAAAAATTGGTTTCATTCAAAATCACTTAGCGTCCCTCTACACTAGCGACGTTCCTCAATCTGTCTCCCAAACTGTCTTTTGCTTTTCTTCATCATAGGTAGGCTATTATACAAAGAATTACAATTAATATTTAATACCAATTAATTTTAAGATAACCCTCTTCAAGATAAAATAAAACATTATTTTATGAACTAATTTTTTTAAAAAAAATATATTTCACAAGTTATTAACTGGTATTTGAGAGGATTTAGACTTTGTTTTAAAATCGTCTAAGAATATCTTTACTGAGATTCAGTATAGTTCAAGATTTAAAATAATAATTCTAGAACATGTATTTATAGATAGCAATCTTTCTGAACAGAAAATCTGATTTTCAAAGAAAAGTAGATACAATTTCATATCTCTTTGTACCTTAATTGTGAACATTTTTAATGTTAATATAAATGTATAATGGTTAATTAAGTTTTTTTCATGATGTAGGGGTGTTGCTGAAAGCTTACTGTCCGACGAAGAAGCTCAAGAAGTAGTGAAACTTCTTTCTCCGCCATCAGAAGAAGTTCAGGAGCCGGAGTGGTTGAAAGATGTTCTTCAGGCTTCTCAGTCCAGGTAGGTTATTTTTTTATGTTAGGATCTATTTGAAATCTGCTTATTTGCAATGCATTATTTAAATAAATTATTGATTTTAAAGTAGTTGGGTGAGGACATATCTATTAAAAAAAATAAAGAAATTATTATTTGATCCAAAATAGGTTTTATAATTACAATATTGACAAAAATTTTATGCTTATAAGATCTTGTTAATTTAAGTTTAAAACTAACAATGTTTTATTTTCCTATAAGTTTGCTCAGCTCAACAACAACTCAAGGAGACAACACCGCAGGCATCGGTGACAGCCTTGACGAGTGGCCTAGTCAACTTACGGAACCTGATCTCTCTAAAGGAGAGGAGTTGTCAGTAAACCAGGAGGAAGCTGAAGCTGAAGGAGAAGCAGAGGAAGAACCGGATGAAGAAGATGGGAGTCCTGCAAGACCCATTCCTTATCGAGAAGTAGGTTTTCTCTCTCTGGCTATAATTAATATTTTAATAACTTATGGGGTAAACCTAATATTTTTAGATTGCCTATATGAGGTTCTCTTGGGATTTATTTATTTTTAGTATTTTATTCTTTTCAGTTTCTGAATTTACTCTCCATATTTTGTAGTACAATAAATCTTTGTTACAAAAAACTCATTGTAACAAAGTTATATCCAAATAAATAAAAATAAGTAGGTTAATAATGTAGATAATTTTTTTTCTTCCTTAAATAAAAATCCAATGTGTATAATACTCTTTTATTATTAAAAACCTTCTCTGTGCACATGCATATCAATTAAATTATTATATTTTATCATGGTCAATAATGTTGACTTTTGAACTTTTCTGCTGTTCTCTTTTTTGTTTAATATTCCTGATTCCACAACTTGTAAAATTTGTAATTTAATTATTGCGGGATATTGTTTATTTTTTTTTCTACATTTTTTAACAAATAAAAATTGTCAAAATTAAAATTTTTTTAAAAGTTAAATGACATGATACTGAAATGATAATTTCGGGTTAGTAAGCATTACGAACAAGTAGGGCAGCTTAATGATTTTAAAGGGATTAGGATTTTTTAAATTCCAGTTAAGACAATGTGGAAAAAATCAAAAAACTTTCTTAGGATTCACATAATTAATGAACCTTACAAACTTAAAAATTTGGAACATTTTGAATAAACTTTTTTAACAGCAAATAAAATTTTTAGTCTTGTAGTAGAAACTGCCTTTTTTTAAATTATTATTATTATTTTTTTTATAGTTTTGAATATAATGTTGAGTACATATTGTATGATTTTATTATTTTAGGTTCTTGAAGAAGGAGGCGTACATTATCTAGAAGATGGACATTACTGGTTAGAAGTTGCTGGTTTGGACAATGGCGACTCCGACCCCGAACAGTGTACTGTTAAGATTAATAGAAAGGTTCAATTTAGTCAGTCACCTATCAAGGTAAATATTTTAATTTCTTCTGTGTTTCCAAATATGCTTTCATATAGCAATTATAGTATGAGTAAATTATATTTTTAGGTTTATAGTACATTCTCAGTCTCTGAATACGATCGAAGAAACGAAGATGTCGACCCAGTAGCTGCATCTGCTGAATACGAACTGGAAAAGCGTGTTGAGAAGTTGACTGTTTTTCCTGTTGAATTGGTGAAAGGTCCTGATGGTCTGGGTCTTTCAATTATAGGTAAATGATTTAATAAATCACAATTAGTTGACTAAAATGGACGGTATTCAGCAAAAAAAAATAAAGAAACAAGTGCGCAAAATATGCAAACAAAAATTAAGGATAGTTATAAATGGATTCAGGATTAACTCTTCTAACAGAAAACAACCATTTCTTGAGTAGGTATCTTCAATAGAAAATCAAAGTTAAAATAAAAATATTAGAAAAAGATGAAATCCTTCGTAGAATCCTCAATGCTCCTTACTTTGTCTCAAATAAAATCATCAATAACGACTTTAATGTTCCTTATGTTTCCGATTTGGCCCAATCCAAATACCTATCCATAATAAACATCAGAACCATCTGAACCAGCTCGTTTCTAACCTTTCTTCCTATTCGATCCCTGATAACCCTCCGAGGTGTCTGAAAAGAAGATGGCCTCGAGATCTTCTATTGTAAATACATCTTTTTTTTTTTTTAGAGTGCTACCAGTGGATAGTTTCTCTACAAGTGTTTTCTGATATCACATTTACTGAATGTATTTTTTTTTCTGAATACAGTTGTAAATATCATAAATAAATAAAAATATAAATACTTATTTCAAAGCCTTAAGATTTTTTCAAGGCTCAACTTTGAATTGAGGTTATTAAGAAAATGTAGAATGTGGATTGTTTCTACATTCTGTTAAATTCTGTCCAAAAATATCATTGATTAGATTATTTAAGGATATTTAAAGTTAAGAAAAATATTTTAACTTTCTATCGTTCTCAACATATTTTTATTATCGAGATTTATTTTTATAAATTAGCACCCATCATGACTTAATCAGGAATAAATTTCAAAATATGATTCTTGACCAAACATAAAAATTAGTTTGGTAATAAGTGGAAAACTTCCAACCACATAGTCTTAAATCTCTAAAATGTAAAGAATAAAATAAACCGCCAATGTTTCGCCAATTCAGGCATCATCAGGACAGAATAGAAAAGAAACTCAACAAAACATCACTCCATGACATCAAAAGTCATGACAGATCCAATCACAGTCATGACAGATCTCCCCTCTCCGTGCTGGATCCGCCAGTGGTTTAGTTAAGGATTAATAGCTTAATTTTTTGTGTATCAAAGTTAAATTGAGATGTACCTTAAAAAAATTGTCGCATACTTTAAATAAATATTTAGTATAATTTTTCGTCTTTGACTTTTATAGATATTCATTATACATTAGTAAAAAGAAAATTAATTAAATTTGTTTTTATTTTTTTTATTTCTCTCCCCCAAAAAATATTCCATTTGAAGGTTTATGTTACTGTAAGTTAGTTAAATATATAAACATTTTATTTTTTTAATTTAAAAAATTCATACCTGATACATAGGTTTTTTTTTAGTAAATATTCTATTATGTAACAAATATAATTATTAAATTTTTGAGTATAGCTATCATTATATTTGAATGTCAATTTTTTATTTAGTTTTTGTTAAAAATGAATTGTATAAGAAAAATTTTAATTTGAAGAATAAAAACATTAATTGTTAAAATAGTTATTGTCTTGAAAAATAGTTCAAACTTTATCACTAATTATTGTAATATCTTACATAATTTTTAGATGATTCTAATTATTTATTTATTTTCTCTTTGAAGGCATGGGTGTAGGAGCAGATGCAGGTTTGGAAAAGTTAGGAATATTTGTCAAAACGATAACTGAAAGAGGGGCAGCAGCTACAGACGGTAGAATTCAGGTAAATCATAATTAATTGTTTCTCCAATGATTTTATCATTTGTAAACAATTAAATTTGAATTATTTTTGGCTTGCAGGTTAATGATCAGATCATAGAAGTTGATGGGAAGTCTCTAGTTGGTGTCACTCAGGCGTATGCGGCATCTGTCCTCCGTAACACGTGTGGGAAGGTAAGATTCCTCATCGGCAGAGAGCAGGATCCAGAGTCTTCGGAAGTGGCGTTACTTATAAAACAGTCCCTGCAGGTAATTTAAATTGTTTTTATTTAAAAAAAAATACTTATTAATATAACTGCTGTATAAAAATGAATTCATGTTTTTCCCATTTAACTTATTTATTCTTATTATTTAAGCCCCTGAATCTGAAACTAATCTCTCCATTAAACTTTGCAATCATTGTTCTTTCAGGCCGATAGGGAAAGAGAAGAACAGAGAAGAGCACAGCAGGAAAGAAGGTACAGCGAAGACAGCCAAAGCACTAATTCTGAAGATAATAACGCCACGCTTTCCTCGTTATTGCAAGAGGTCAGTATGATATGTGTGCATGTTCTTTGTTTGAATGGACTGATTTATGTTATGTAAATATTAGCATGCTGCCAGAGCATCATCAAGAGTCTTAAAACTTACGAATATAAATTTTCTATGTATTACCTAAAAATTATGTAAAATATTACAATAATTGGTGACAAAGTTTGAACTGTTTTTAAAGACAATAACAATTTTAACAATTAATCTTTTTTTTTTCAAATTAAAATTTTTCTTATCCAATTCAGTTCTAACAAAAAAATTTGGTATACAAATATAATGATAGCAATACTCAAAAATTTAATAATTATAATTGTTACATAATAGAATATTTACTAAAAATAAAACTATTAGATTTCAAAAAATTATAATTAACTTATTGAAGGAAGTTAGTCGACTGTTCTACATATCATGGGTAATAAATATTCAGGATGCAGTCATTATAAAGTTTTTATTAGTGCCGAAGTTTCAACCCAAACATGTATGTTATTATCAGGGTGTGGTTCGAACACTGAAGGTATTTAAGTACTGAATACTGAATAACTACTGAATTCAGTACTTGAATATCTTCAGTGCTCGAACCACGCCCTGATAATAACATACATGTTTGGGTTGAAACGTCGGCACTAATAAAAACTTTATAATGACTGCGTCCTGAATATTTATCACCCACTATGATTAACTTATTTTATTTTTTTATAAAATATGGAATAGAATAGAGTCGGAAAAGCAGCCTTATTCTGGGATGAAGTCTCTTAAGAACAACAATCTTGTACAGTTAAATAAATATTTATTCTGGCGACAAGACTGATTACCTAATGAAAAACTAAAATAAATATCTAAGTATGTACATAGTTATTACAAAGAATATGTTTAAAACAGCTGAGGAAAGGTATAATAAAATATTATATGTACTGCTAAAATAAAATAATACTGAAAAGGAAAGTTAATCTTATAAGCAAGCAATCTTAAACTAAAAAAAATAATGTTTTCATCTGCTATTTATAAGATGTTTAACTAAACAAACATTATTGTATATTAAAAATATATAAATCAAAATTAATAGTAGTCTATATTCTAAGACAAATTTAGTGAAAACTCATTGCTGATAATTAAAAAAAAAAAAAAAAAAAAAAAAAAGGAATTAAAACTGTACCACTGTAATCCATGAAAGTACTGTTGGCTTCAGTACTGTCAGGAAGTACTGCTTCAAAGCCATCAGTAATGCAGGAGGTGATTGAGTCGGGATCACGCTCTGATGACAGGTTTTTCCTTTCAATTGATTATTTTATTAAGAATACCCTCTTAAAGAATCTGGGTGGCCCCCAAGTGAATCTCTTGACCCTATGGTTGATAAAAAATTACCTGTCATCAGCCGCATTCAAACCTGGACCTAGAGCTTAGCGGCTCAGTGCCAAACTTACTGAGTTACTCTGTTCCTTTAAAATATACAAATAAAGTAAAATTATAAAGAAACAGTCTTATAATATACACAGCAAAAACGACACCAACTAGGGCTCTGAGTAAAGTAGTAAATATTTATTCATATTCCTTAAAAAAAAAAAATCATGCATTTAGAAAAATAAATTCTTGAATATGTAGAAAAAAAACCTTTTAATTATGTCTCATTTTATTTTATTGTTACATGGAACTTTTACTATATTCATCTAAAACATTAACATATATATACCTCCAATAATTCATTATACATCACAATTCCTAAATGTCACCAGGATTCTGCAAACTCTACATATCTATTTTTGATCTGAACCCATTCACTTGGACGTTGTTCTAAATGTTGTACTATTTTGTTAAAGCTCTATATTTGTGGGTTAAATTGCAAAGGGAAAAAAAAGTAAGGTAATAGAAATTGTTTTTAGTGATAGTCAGCTCAATTTTTATTCAATTAGAAGTAATAATTATATGTAGTACTACTTAAAAAATGACTGAATTAAAAGGAGATTTTTCTGTATATTCAAGAATAATATATATAGTCTATCTTTTCCTTGTTGTCCATCATTAGCCAATGTCTGGTTGGTTTGTGAAGAGATATTGGAATATGAGAGTTTTAATTGTGGATAAAGAGAGGGTATTGTGGCTTTAAATAGATAGGAAATTCCAAACAATAGAGGAGCCGATTAACATTAGTATATATATCAAATTTAATATTAACTTAAATATTCTATATAATTAAATTCTAGTTAGTGTACTTTGGTAAGTGTCCATTTTATGTGCCCTTAAACCAGCACAACTGTCCAGTATTTCTGGTACTGTATAGTCTGCCCCTTGTTCGAAACGTGAAACGTATTACCATTTTGATTTATAAAACATGTTCCTTGAAAGTTGAGAAATGTTATAATTTCTTCATTCATTGTTACAACTTTCTCCTTATTTTCTTTCTCAGTCCACAACAAAGTACCAAGAATTGATACAGATGGTGGTGCACGATTCCTGATGAATATAAAATAATGGATTCTGCCATATTCTGCAGATGGTTCCTTTCCATACCCAGCTTTCCGTAAAAAAAAAACAGTTGAAGAAGGCGGAATCGCTCCTGTACTCTTGAACCATAGTCCCCGAACTGAATATTCTTTCTCACCAAATTCCTTTCTACATTTCTCTTGGAAGCACGGTATTCATTTTTTTATAGATTTCCTCCTCTCATTTTGTACTTCCTGATTCTCATCATTTGTTTCAAATCTAATAGGATCAACTATCAGGCCTCTTTTCCTTTCGCATTAAAGCCTAAGATGTCACTGAACCTTCCGTATCAAGGCAATACACTTCCTGGAAGCATCTATTCTTTTCGGAATTCGGTAATTTGATGGTTTACATTATTGTGCCGGCAGGTGATGAGGAGCATGTTATTCGGACATTATCCCAATAAATGAGCTGGAGTTTCTGACTCTCGTGCACATTTGCGGCATATGGGCCACAATAAATTATAATTATATCCTAATAAATTATAAGAATAAATAAATAACTTGTTTTTAGACAGAATCCTCTCCATGACCTAATTATGATATGATAAAAAAATCATTTTGATGTTAAAAACTTTTAAATGTGTTGCCCTGCATATTATTGTTTATATACATATTAGTTTAAATGTTAAAAATAGATTCTTGCACAATATATATATTTTTTGTTTGATATATATAAATAGAAGTTGTATTTGATGTACAGAATATATATTTTTTAAAAATAAAAAATCAAGGGTCCTAAAAAACTTTGATGTACAGAAGTTTGATTTTATTTTCACGAAAAGAGTTATGCATCTTTATGTAAATTTATCTTAATCATTTCTAAAATGCTTTGTAAGACTTAATCAATTTATGGCTTCAATATTAGAGGTATTCATGTAATTGGTGTTTATAGTCATGTAAGAGTGTTTAACATTTAGCATGAAACTTGAGTGAATGACCCCTCTGTTTTATTATGAGCTATAGTGAGTTGAAACCTCCGATGTGAGAGAGTGATTTTACTTGTTAATTTTAATGTTTAAGATCTTATTTATCTTTTATTTAAACATTGTTTATTACTGAAAGAGTGCCGGTCTTTAAATGTATAAAGAATTGAAAAAAAATATATTCACTTAATAGTTTTTTTCAGATTTTCTTTGATTATAGATAACAGATTTTCAGTCTTTTTTTCTGGATCCATTCCAAATTTTTTTCTTATATTTAATTTCGCTTTAAACAAAATGTAGTTATTTAAAAACCTTCTAGATCATTTTAAAATCAAGTGTGCTAGTGGCCATATTTAACACTCAAATTTAAAAAAATTTTTGCAACTTTTACTCATTTAAGAGGTTTAGATTACTTTGTGCTAGTTCTTATGAATACCTCTAATGTTTATTCTGTTATTTTTTATAAGCATTTGTATAATTCTTCACCACATTTGTTGTTTGTACATTTATTAATGCTTATTTTTTAAAAAAATAATTGTATGTTCTAATTTGTGCATGTAAAAAAAAAATGATGCTCTGGTATGCTTCAAATGTTTGAATATGCAAAGTTTTGTTATAAAATTGTATTTCTGAGTTAAAAACTTTTAGGCTATTTTTATTGAAAATATTTTTGCGCTGATTGAAGTTATTTAATCCACTGCTTTGAAAAATGTTTTTATTATTATATATTTTTGTAAAATGTATGTATAAAACTGTTTTGCTATTTTTAATATTTATACCTCATTTCCATGAGATTATAAGGCTGATCGGCCACCGAAAGCTGAGCTGAGCATAGCTAGAAAGGATCGGCAACCGATTGCATAGCAGATCTCAGCTCAGTCAGCAACTTGCCTTACATCGCTATCCTTCTCATATTCCATATAACATTTTTAAAAAATAGCAAAGTTGATCATGTCGGAGCTGAAAAGAAAAATCTAATATTTGTGTATAAAATCGAATATTTTCACTTATACATTTGATTAAGAATTCTTTCACATCCATTGCATATTTTACACTGAACAAAAATAAAATAATTTGAGAGATAGTGCAGTGAAAACAAGCAGAAAAAAAGGATGACATTGAGGAACAAAACCCCATAGTTGTGTGACAGTGGTGAGTAGGTGTGGTGGGGAAAGGTGAGCGTAGTGGAGTCAGCTTCCAAAAGCGAACTTCGGTCAATCCAAAGCTGAGCTGAGCCTTGCTACGCCGCTCAACTGCGCTCAGCTCAGCTCTGCTTCTGGCAGCCGGTCGGCCTAAGTCTTGTCAAACATTTATTAATGTTTATTTAAGCATTTTTTTCTTGTCTATTAATTAAACTAATTAGTTTCTCAACGGTTCCATTAAAGCTCCATATCCATGGTGACAGTTTCTGTTGTAGTACTGTCACAACAATGAAGCAGTGGAAGTATCATTGCCTACCACGGCTGTAACTGTCACTATGGAAACTTTGGAATGAATGTTCATTGATGACAGAAGCACCTTAAAATTATTATCATATTTTCCCTTAAATAATAGACAGCTGCATCTAAGGTCATCTGAGAGAGATTGCGTGAATTTTAAATCCATTTTAAAACCCCTGAAAACGAAATTATGAGGGTTTTAGAGATGTATGATTTATATACACACGTGTATATATTTTTTTCTCTACTATGTTTCATCACCTCTTTGGCCTTCTTTTGATTAAATCAGGTTAAATTTAATATCTAGAGTTGTTTTCTAGGTACAACAATACCGGAATGTTCTAGAAGTTTTTTAGTTCTTCCCTAGTTTTTAAAGTAATCCCTCTACAGTTCTAAATTGTGTTAAAGGATTGACATTTCATATATAAATTGAGTTAGTCCTAGAAACATGCCTTTTTGGGTCACAATTTTTTTCTACCATTCCTGCAATCTTTTTAAAATAAATAGGGAAACGGCTTTTGATCGAGTCTGGCACCCGGGATTACTTTACAAACTCCGTAAATTCCTACATCCTACATATTTCCTCATTATCCGTTCCTATCTAACTGATAGATACTCAAAAGTCAATCATAATAGTGCTTATTCATCCCTCTTTTCCCAGTCCGCTGGTGTTCCTCAAGGTAGTATCCTTGGTCCTATCCTTTACACAGTTTATACAGCTGACATCCTAACACTGTTATTACCACGTATGCTGATGATACATGTGTCCTATCCGTTAATAATGACCCAACCATTGCATCCCAAACTCTTCAATCACACATCACAAGCCTTGAAGAATGGTGTCAAAACTGAAGGATTAAAATAAATTCTAATAAATCCCATCAAATCACCTTTACCCTTCGACGTAAACCTATGACCTCATGTCCCACAGTATCCTTTAATAATACCCCACTTATCCCTGTTGAACAAATCCGATACCTTGGACTTCACTTGGACAAACGTCTAACTTGGAATCCTCATACCAGACTGAAACGACAAGAAACCGCTCGACGTTTCCGACTAATCCAACACTTACTAGACAAACGCTCTAAGCTTCCAGTAAATTACAAAAGACTTATATGCATGACTACAATAAGACCTATTTGGACTTACGGAGTTGAGCTTTGGGGCTCCACTAAGCCATCGAATTCCTCTCGTATCCAATCCTTACAATCCAAAATCCTTCGGAAAATCCTCAATTCTCCTTACTTTGTCACCAATAAAATAATCCATAATGACCTTAATGTTCCTTATGTTTCCGATTTGGCCCAATCCAGATACCAATCCTTCCATAATAAACTTCAGAACCATCCGAATCCTCTTGTCTCTAACCTTGCTTCCTCTTCTATTCCTGATAACCCTCTGAGGCGTCTGAAAAGAAGATGGCCTCGAGATCTCTTATTGTAAATACATTTTGTTTTTAGAGTGCTACCAGTGGGTAGTTTCTCAACAAGTCATTTCATGTTTTTATTTTCTGTTATCAAATTTACTTAATGTATTTAATTTTTTAATACAGTTGTAAATATCATGTATAAATAAATAAAAAAAAAAACAGGGAAACAATTTAATTTATTTTCATATAAATTAGATTTATAATAAATATGTGTAGTTTCTCAAGAGCATATAGTTTTTTTAGTTATTCCCAGAACAGTTTTTATATTTTGGATTTTGAATTTTTTTTCTTAGCTCTGCCTTATTGCAAATCTACATTATAAACGGAAATACCAATTAAAATTTCAGCTTCAAATATATTCTCAATTTTATTATTTATTGAAATTATTAGTTATAAATTTATCTTTAAGTTGGCATATCAGGTTTTTAATTTAATTTTAATTCTTTTTTTTTTTTTGTTTTGTTTAAACTTGAATTCGTGAATACAGGCATAAGTGTTAAATAATTTTCAGAGCCAGATGAAACAAGCGGCTGCGGAAAACGAAGTGTTGAGGTTAAAAGCTAGGGTGAGGACAACTGAATTAGTTATTAAAAGAAGTAATAATTAAACTTTCGGTGCACATTTACTAACGCTTCCTGAATCTTAATATAATGTAACGTAGCATGGTTGATAGAACTGCTTTCATAACTAACTCTCTTCCTTATCTCTGCTCATATAGGCTTTGGGAGCTTTCTTAGAACTTTGCATTGTACATAAATAACCAACACATAATTTAAACTGGTGTATATTCATTGTAGTTCTTACATTTTAAGGTGTAGCTTAAAAATACTTACTAATAATACAGAATATTGATTTGGGTTTAACAATAATCAATTTAGTTCTAACATGAATAATTTTACTGGTCCCTGGATTGTATATTGTAAATATATATTTATATTATTATTAGTATATATTTAATATTTCATTATTTGTATTGTATTTGTTTTAAATGAAGCACTATGATAAATTATTGGTTTCCTGTTTCTCAAGTATCTTACTGGAAGTTAGGTTTCAAAATATGACCTTGAAAGTTTTGTTGTTATCTCCATTATAATCTATTAATTGAAAAAAGAAAAATAATGAAAGAGCCTCCATTGATGGTTAGAATATTAATTCTGTCTCTGATTCTATTATTATTATTATAACTGTTGTATTATATGGATCATTCTTCCATAAAAAAATGCTGTCCAAAGAGTATTGCCATTTCTTTTCAATAATTTTTTATTCAAAATGGATATCCCAATAAACTATCCAACTTTATCTATACTCGTCAATTATGTTTCTCTCTGTGGAGTATAACGAATTTCATACCAGGCTGATCATGAAGGCCTATTGTGTGCCTTAGTTAATGTTGTTATTAATCGTAGCATTATTTCATCAATCTCTGCATACTGAAGTAGGCTTATTGGATTGACAAGCTCTTTGTTTTTGGGGTCTAACAAATAAACAGAATCTTGACCCAGCAAATCTGTCGCACCAACAAGTCATATGATAAGCAGTTTCATCCTCCACGCAACAGAACCTTCTGAGAGACAATTCCGTTTGGCCAAGTTTGAACATATGATAGTTCATAATAGTGGATAGATGATTGACTATAGTGAATAACTGAAGAGAAGTTGTTTGGGGCTTTCAGTAAAATAAAAAAAATAAATGATATATATTATTATATTTACCGACGTTTCGGCGCAAAGTTCAGGCTTTCATCAGGGCTAAGAAAAGACCAGATCATAATATGAGAAACTATTAATTTATGAAAAAAAAATATATTAATAATAGAAGAGAAGATTGGTTGGAATGATCAGTAAAAAAAAAATGTAAAAATAAATAAGTATATTTATTTTCATACAGTAATTTGAGATAAACTATCTTAATTTTTCTATTTAAATCTATTATTTTCTTTATGTAACTTCATATTCCTTTTCTCTGTTTTACAAATTATTACTTTCATTAATTTTTTTCATATGTTCGTTACATTATTATTATTAATATTTTTCATAAATTAATAGTTTCTCATATTTTTATCTGTTCTTTTCTTATTTCTGATGAAGGCCTGAACTTTGGACCTAAACGTCTACAAATATAAAAATAAATATCATTTATTTATTTTTAATTTTGTTTTTACATGATATCCTCTAACCAACTGTTCTTCAATATGATAGTTCAGTTTGGAGTGACATGTATAGATCACTGTAGTTTTCTTAAGAGAACTACCACTCCGGTTAATTAGCAGATCAGTCCTCTTTACACAGAATCCTTTCAGAAAAAGCCGAGAATGAGTTCGTTTTTTAGAACACCAGTATTTTTTGGCTTCTGTACCCCGATTCTTCTTTTGATCAGACTCATGTTAATATCGCAGATTGGTTCGGGTGTTATGGGAATTGTTTGAGATCCTCTTCTTCCTAATTTGTCCGCCATCTCATTGCCAACAATAGCAGAGTGTCCTTTCAGTCTGTTTATAATGGAGTCGACCAATTTTTTGGGATTATTCTGCTCCATTCTTTGAGGAGATATTTTTTAAAGTCTTCTTTGCTTGAAATTTCATTTTTCCTAATTTCTAATTCCAATTTTGCCCACTGGTGTTCCATCACATTAAGATCTGGTTACTGTGGTGGTATTTTTATAGCTTTGTGGTAGTTATAAAGTAGTGATTCCTTAACAAACATGGCAGAGTGTTTGGGATCATTATTCTGATAAAAACAAAATTTTTTTTTTGCCCAAATTTTTCACAATTTCTTTAAAATTCCTTCTCAAAATGTCTATGTAAACATGATTATTCACTGTACCATGTGAATATTCCCACTATAAAGTGAAGATTTCCTACAGCAGAAGCCGTCATACATCGCCACACCATGAAACATAACATAAGAACATAAGAAAATAACACTTTACTAGGATGTTTATTGATTACAATAAATTATTCTTTTTAATGTAACGTAAATTGAACTATTTATTTATACAATAATTTCTATCAATAGCCAGATGTATTGTTTTGTCTGTGAGCCACTTTATATATAGATAAAATTTCCTAACATGCTTCTTGTAATCCGCCGCCACAGTAATATAAAGAAACAACCATCTCAACTCCTAGAAATGAATAACTGTAGATGTTTTCTCAAAGTTAATTGCTTAGGCACAGAAGTTTCAAAAAGGTTCATGGATATTTTAGCATTTAATGTAACAAACAAGGAAGTAGTGAATTCCACGGTCAGGTTGGAAAAGATAAAACTTTAATACTTTATGGAAGAATGGGACATGTTATATTAGACATTATCACATATTACTTTTTTTTAAATGCGATAAGTTTCATTTTTTAAATCGGCTCTTTATTAGAAGCATGTTGTCAAGCAGACCTAAATTTGTATACATTGTTAAGCCTTCTTAAAGCAAAGGCTAATTGCTGTTGAAGTGCTTGTTGTATTTTAAAACAGCTTGCGATGGAAAATATTTAAATATAAATGTGAATCTCTTTCAATTAAGTAGAAATCTGTTAGTTAGGAAAACTATCTTCTGCTGTTTTTTTCCTCTTTTAGTTAAATCATTTGTCATTTATTTATTATTTGCTGCCAAATTATAAAACATTGATTTTTTCTTTTTAAAAAATTTGGCTTGTTACAGTTTTTTTTCTCTCCCCTTCCTCTATTTGATTTCATCGCTTATTGGAAATTTTTCTTTGTAAATGTGAGATAATGTCCTTTAATTTATCTATAAGAAATCTCCAATAAATTGATTTTGCATTTAAACGGTAATGAAACAAATTGATATTTATGTGATAGCATTTTTCTTCCCTCTTCTTCCTCTATGATATAAAATGAAAGTGTTAAGGTATTGAAATCATAAAAAATCTCAAATTAATAGTTTGCAATGCTATGATAAAGCCAGTTCTGATATTTGAAAGATTTGAGTGGAAAATCCTCCTAAATAAACAAAGCAGTTTGGGATCAGAGTACTAACGCATGGAGGAAAAGAGTGAATTAAAAACTTCTTACAGAAACTGGTCTATCAATATCTCATAATATGAAGGTTAGGAGGTTAAAATGAGGGAGACATGTACAACAATTAATGCCTTGTTAGACCACATGCAAAACCAAAAACCAAACGGAAAGATTGGTTCAGTATCAGCAAAGATACTGCTGAGCTGCATGCAGATAACTGGAAAGTAATATATAGCTCTGGATAGACATGAAGAAGGCCGGTTAAGGCAGCTAAAGATCTATAACATCCTTAAGCCAATAGGTATTTTCTTCATGGAACAAGAACTGGAATATTATTCTTATTGTGTTTCCTTTTCTTGTTAAGTATAAGTATATTATCGCTGTTATGTGATATAAAAAAAAACTAATGTGTGTAATTTAGACTACACAATAGAAGTGAAAACATTAATAAGGCGAGATTAATAATATGAAATATAAATTACAAATAATAGCTCATTTAAAGAGGATAAAATGCTGAATATTTCCCTCGCTTACATTATACAGGTCCGATTTTTAGTTTCTGAGATATTTCAATCTATATGCAAAAATACTTAAATTAGTCGACTACAACTGACTTTACCTGGGCATTACAAATCGTAGATCTGACGGCTCTATCTAATTCACTCTCCACAAATAAAGTGCAAAACGCAATAAAGAAGTTTTCACTTCAAAAATTAACTTTTATTAATTTTGTTCTGGTTTTTGTTGTTGAATTTTTCTATTATTCATTGTTAACTATTTATTTGCTGTGTAATTTTCATTATATATCATTTTATGAATTATAAATTCTGTTTTAGATGATTAAACTATGTTTTAAATTTGTTGAGATTTTCTTTACTCGAACAAATAATATATATATATATATATATATATATATATATATATATATATATATATATATATATATATATATATATATATATATATATATATATTTTCTGTTGTTTACTATCAGTGACTTGTTTGAATAACTAGTATAATATTTTGACTTTAGCTCGAGGAATTTGAAAAAGGCGCTAGAGAGGACTTAGGCGAGAGATTGAGAGAGACGACGTTGAGGCTAAGAGAAGTCGAAAGGAATCTTGCTGCTATAAAGAAAGATAATTCCAACTATCAAGACATGCTTCACCAAACACAGGTAATCATTTTATTTTTATTTTAATTAATTTATTTATTTATTAATTATAAATTTATTTTTATGTTTATTACGATGTATTTATTATTTATTTCATTATTATTTAAGGAACAATATATATCTCTGGAGAAAAAGTATGCTAAAACCAAGCGTTTGGTCCGTGAGTTCCATGAAAGGGAAGCCGAACTACTTCACAGAGAGGAATTTTATTTAGAAACCCTTCAAGAAAAGGACAGAGAGTACAATGCCCTCGTCAAAGCACTTAAGGATCGAGTGAGTATCCTTCAATATTTACTGTATTCCTCAAGACAGTGTAAATTTTTAATATATTGGGTTGGATAAACTGTGATAAACTTATTATCTGATGAATTAATCCCTAAGGTGGATTGTTTATTCTGTTTATAATATGTCAACAACTATATATGTTAACTATCGTTGAAACTAGCTTAGTATTATGTTTGCTATTGCACTGTAATATATGGAAGAAAATATCATTCATTATCGACATATTTTGTTGTTTTATTTTAAAAAAGATAAGTCTGTTGCAGAAGCTCCTAGAAACATTTGCAGTGATTGTATGTTGTAATCTCTTGATTCATAACTTTTTTTTTTTTTTTATTTCTTAAAGACATTTACAACTGTATTAAATAAATACATCTAGTAAATTAGAACATAATGTATATAATGACATGAAAAACACTTGCTGAGTAACTACCCAATGGTAGCACTCTAATGATATGTTTACATTAGGAGATCACTGGGCCATCTTCTTTTCAGACGCCTCGGAGGTTTATCAGGAATTGTAGAGGAAGCAAGGTTAGAAACGGGAGGGTTGGGATGATTCTGAAGTTTATTATGGAAGGATAGGTATCTGGATTGGGCCAGATCTGAAACAAAAGGAACATTAAGGTCATTGTGGATGGTTTTATTTGTAACAAAGTAAGGAGCATTAAGGATTTTACGAAGGATTTTGTATTGTAAGGATTGGATACGAGAGGATTTCGATGGTTTAGTGGAGCCCCATAGCTCAACTCCGTAAGTCCAAATAGACCTTATTATAGTCAAGTATATGAGTCTTTTGTAATTAATTGGAAGATTAGAGCATTTGTCTAGTAAGTGCTGAAGTAATCGGAAACGTCGAGCGGTTTCTTGTCGTTTCAGTCTAGTACGAGGATTCCAAGTTAGTCGTTTGTCCAGGTGGAGTCCTAGGTATCGTCGGATTTGCTCAACAGGGATAAGTGGAGTATTGTTATTCATAACTAAATTAATATATTCTTTTGTTATTCAAATACTTTGTCTTCTTTTTTTTTCCGTTCTCAGTTTTTACCTTATTTATTTTGTTATATTGTTAAATTACTGGCACTTATTGAAACGTGGTTGAGACTATGTTCGTATATTTTACAACATCCCTCTCTCTATCACTTCCTTATAACGTGTCCAGCCCATCTTAATCTGAACGCTTTTATGCAGTTCACAATATTTTCATTCTTTAAAATTTTCTGTTTCGTCATTCGTCTTAATGGAGTTATTTTGTTTTCATTACTAAAGAAGAGCCAAGGTACACCAAGTTCTTGATGCCTTTAAAATTTAAATTGTTGTATGCTTGGGTTTAGATATATAAAATTAATAAACCATCAAATTTAACAAATTATATTTATTACTTAAAATTGAATGTTACAAATAATTAATTTTTTATAACTAAAAGAAAAATCATTACGATACAATGTATTATTTTTTAGATTATCCAAGTAGAACAGGAGCTGATGGAGACACAACGAAGAGCTGGTCTGCCAGTTCACCTGCCCCAGTGCGCGGAAGGCACTTACCTTCGACTCAGCACTCCCCCGATGACCAGGAGGCCTCCCCCAGTCACCCCTCTTCTTGAGAGTCTCGGAGTAGAACTGCCACAATCTGAGTCGGAGAAGACATCGACTGTTGAGAGGAAGGTTAGTATCACCAAAGTTTAACATTTCTTGTTTTTTTGTCTTTCTTTTTTGACCATAATCTTTAATTTAATCGTTAATTTCTAACATTTATAAAAGCTTTACTAGCACATAACTAACATTTTCATTCTTACAGTTTTGAGATTGGTCTTAGTTGATAATGATATCATAATAAGGAACAATGTAAGATTGATGATGATTAATTATTTATATTCTTGGCACTACTTTCCTACAAGAACTTGTGTTTCTCTTGTGATCTTCCTCTATTCTCCTCTACTCTGGCCGAGCGTTTACTTTCGTTGGATTCCCATGAATGAATGAATTTCCCATTCACAGTGATTTTTGTACTGTGAGAAAGAGATCTGCAATTAAATGTTTTTGGCATGGCAAAGCAGCCATCCTTGCTTTCAATTCTTTCACCATTTCATAATTTTCAGTAATTAGCACTTCCAAATATTTAAAGTTTTTAACCAATTTTAGGACATAGTTACTTATTATGACGTGTTCCTCTGTTCCATGATAGGTAAATTTATGTCCGATTTAGAACCTTTACAATTAGATTATTGAGGTTTCAGAGTTTTAAATATTTTTTTTTCCTGCTACATTTTGATATCTTTTTTAATGAATCAAATGAGCTGAAATTTCGGTATAGGTTTATTTTCTAGGCAGAACAACTCCATAAAAGTTTGTATAAGTTTTGTCATTAATTAATTTTAGTTATTTGGTTATTTGGCAATAATAACTTCCAATTGCTAACAATTGAGTATATTTCTATTATCAACGTTACATGTTAACAAGTTAGTTGACGTTTCAGGATATTTATTCCCATCTTTGGAACTGCAATCCCAATACTCTTGTGGATGCAAGTCTAAAACATTTTTTGAGTTATGATATTGTGCTTGTTACATTATGTTTGAATTTTGTTGTTACAATAAATTTGTGATTACCTTAATTTTAATAATAATGCAGTTCCGAAGATGGGAATAAATAGCCCAAAACATCAACTAACTTATTAACATGTAACGTTGATAATAGAAATATACTCAATTGTTACCAATTGGAAGTTATTATTGCCAAATAACTAAAATAAATAGAAAACTTCCCAGAAAAAATAAGTCATTAATTAATTTTTTCCAAGGATTTATTTTTTGTTTTTTACTGGTTCTTAAAGTTTTGTGGGCCTATAGCCACTCTAATTAAAGTTTTATGGTGTTGAAATTTTGTATTTAAATAGAGTATGTGATTGAGAAGTGCCTTTTGAGGGTTTTAACTTTTTGCTTTCACCCTCGTCACTTTTTTGCATGAGTTTTGAAGGTGTTGTGTATGTCTACAATCTCTACATTTTTTTTTTCTATAACACTAACAACCCATGAAAGGTCTTGGGTTCAGTACTATGTGAGGAAGTACTGTTATAAGGTCAACGGTTGTGGTGGTGACGGACCAATATCACCCTCAACTGCCAGGTTTTCCCCCTTAATTAATTATTTAATTAAGAGTACCCACTTGGGCTGGGTTTGTCCCTGGGTCTAGCAATGGCTGATGAAAAATTATCAGCCGTATTCGAACCTCAGACCTTGAAATCTGGAAATCAGTGCTCACCCACTGTACTATCCTGCTCCCTAACAGTCTCTAAAAATTGAATTAAGACTTTTAATATAGAGTGAATTGGCATGGGAGAATTAAAAAGTTTCTATGTTTCCTGAAGTGTCTGAGAGATCATACTGTTATTCCCCTCTATTTATTTACCTTTTCAATGGATTAGTTTGTTGAAGACTATCATAAGTAGCAACATTTTAATTTTTAGAACCTCAACATATAATAAGTACTGCATGGCAGCCATAGCACCTAAAAGGAAATTGTTTCGGCAAGAATCAAGATTTATCTTGAATATGGTATGTTTTAAGGCTTTAAATTTCTGAACATGTTGACATCTTTAAAACAATTTATCCCATCTTGATTCGATCTCTTTTGAAACTATCTGACTTTTGAAATCTCCCAAAATTTTTCAATTACTTTTATTATAGTTGTTCTAAGGCTTTATATTTGGAAATTGAAAATTCATTACTTCTCCTTGAAATCCCCTTTCGTTGGATACTTCAGAGCTGGAAAAGGAACCTATACGACCAAATTAAATTAGTCCGAGGTCAGAGTTACAGCTCTCTTTTTATTTAATTATTAACATTCATCTAAAACTTCATGAATGGCTTCATCTTATCAGACAATTTTTTTATTTTAAAAAATCTCGGTAATTGGAGTTTTCAATTTGAAGATTGGTAAACTTTGTCTATTTAATGAGGTACTAAAAACTAATGAACACTCATTTGATTTCCACTTGAATCATCTGTGAAGAAGGTTATGAAAAGAAGTTTGACAGGAAGACAAAATGGAGATGCTTTTTTAGCAGTTGTAACAAAAATGTATCTATAAGAAAAGGAGCGTGGTTAAAGGGGTCGAAGATTACATTTTCAACGGCTTTAAAATTAATTTATGGGTGGTCTCATAATTTAACAATAATATAGCATGGCGAAGAACAGCTGAAACTAACAAACAAAAGTGTGATAATGTGGAACAAAGTTTTAAGAGAGGTTTGTGCCCATAACATGTTATGTTTTTATCTATTTGAATTTCCGTAAATATGACATTTGTTTTTGTCTATTTTATATATATGTTGCAAAATAAAAGTATTTTGTTATTGTTGTGGGAATTATTACATTTCTTTTTGTCTATTTCAATTTCCATAAATATGAATATAAAGATAGAGATTATCAGTGCCTTATCAGAATTATCAGTGTTCAGGTTATAATCATTGGCAGATAGCAGCCTGTCCCGACCGGATTGTTCACAAGTACCGATAATTTAATCACAAAATCGAGAAAAATGGTGTCCTATAAAAATATATGGCCATTTGGCGTGACCCTCAACATATTGAAATAACGAGGTTATATAACCCAAATGGCCCAATAATTTGTAGGCCACCTTTTTTCTCTATTTGGTGATCAAATTAATTTACAATTTAAGTGGAAAGCAATGTAGTAATCATGAGTTTTCAGTACTTCATTAAATTAATTAATATAATGAGGAAACACTCCACTTCTGAGAAATTTTGTAGATAAAAAAGTTGTAAGTTGCGATAACAGGAAGCCATTCACCAAGTTTTAGATGGATGTTAATAATTTGATAAAAAGGGGTCTGTACTGAGGACTAAATATAATGTAGATTGTGTCTTATTGTTTATTTTCTTATACTCTATATGATACTAACTACATTTTTAACAATATTGCATGTTTATTTGTTATCCTTCTTCTATAAAAAATCCTAACAATTTATTTATGAGAGATTTTGTTCCCATTATTCCCTTAATATGATGGCTAAATTGGAAAGAAGAAAAAAAAAAAACTTTGCATGCCTGAAAACAATTGTGCCGAATATCATAAAGTACAAACTGGGATCTAATTTATACAGCAGACGGGAGCCAAAGAAGAACTAGACGATGCAGTGCCCCCTCACAACCTGCTTGACGTGTCCGCGACGAGGTCCAAAGCTGAGCTGGCCACTCGTGGCGGTCTCGGCAATCGCCAGTTACCTTCCCAAGCGAAGAAACACCATTCATCTTCTTCGCTTCCTTTGTCTAATTCCAGCTCGGTAAGTTAGTATTTTGTGAACCTATGCCTTAGAAGCAGGTGTTGGAAGGGGATACTTATTATCAATTTATAAATAAATAAAAAGCAATACAACGTCATAAAGTTCTTTGTGTACCATTGATTCCTGTGTTTTGTCAATAACATACATGAAGTGTATACATGAAGCAAATATTGCGAGTTATGCTAATTAAACTTAGTTGTATCTTTGTTAAGAAAAAATAAAATAATTTCTGTATTGTTTTGAATCATGTATTGAAAATGCTCATTAAAACAACTCTGAATTTCTTTTAATATTAGGAGTTTTCATGCAGCTTGTGGTAAATGGCCCTGTTGTGCTAAAGTGTTTTTAGTTATAGTAAGTTTATGATTGTATTATAAACAAAGTTTTAGGTGGGGATGAGTAAAGGTGTTTAATATCAGTAGCAGTTGCAACAATTTCTGTTACTTTAAATAAACAATTTCAAAAAACCAGATATGATTGTTTCGAAATTTGCAAGCAAATTAATTCGAAATTATTCACTTACGTTAACTAGAAATTAATTAGTCACAATATTTATAGAGTGAAGTGAACAAGACAAAAAAATTGTCTTATTAAAAATAAATAATTAGTTTTTGATGATTATAATTTTTTTCTTCAAAATAATTATCAATTTAATTTTACCTTCAAAATGTATCAACTTTGGGACAAAAGAAAAAGTATTTATAATTACTGATAAAAGTCAAAGTAACATTAAAATTATAATTTCAAATCATAAAATATTTTAAGGGAATTATATAAATTTATTAGTGGAAATAATGAACAAATAGTAATTACATATGAAAAGGGGTTACTAAAACTGTTCAGTAAACAGTATGCCTGTTGAAGAAGCTGTTTAAATTAAACAGTTTCAGTGTGTGTCTCATTTCCCGTCGGGATCGCTGTCTCAACCTACTAACCTGTAAAGTGAATTGTCTTGGGTAGATTCCTAAACTCAGCACTGAGTTCATCAATAGCTTCGTTTTGCTCTGTTTAGAGATCTATTCGATGGCATCGATGAGTCCAGCGCTGATTTTAAGAACAACTTGCCTCCTCCTAATGGAAGGTAATAATTGTATCTGTTTAATCTCGAGTGAAACAGTTTACTGTATCTGTTTAATGAAAGAAACTGTTTAAATTAAACAGGTTGCTACTAAACACCCCACCACTAGTTTATGAGTTCTGCTTGATTGATCTAATAACGTTTTGGTTTATTTTTAAAATGCGAAAGTGAAATAAAAAGACCGAGTTGCTAGATTATTTGATTAAAAATTCTTTAATAGAAAACATGAATGAAGATTCATAAGGCAAAGAACCTGATGAAAACATAAATGAAATCCTAGCTATTAAGTCAATGAGAAATATTATACATTTTCTTCCTGGATCAGTGAAGAAGTATCCTCGTTGAAGGCAGGAAGTATTGCCCCAAATGGATAATGTCAGATTCAGGCAGATGGTGAGGGTTGAAAGACACAAGTTTAATTTTATATTAAACGAAATTCATTTTCACCAAGACAGCAGCCAATTTCTGTCCAATTGTTTGTTGTATTGTACAGACTTATATTGGGTTGTACAAAGAACTAAACAGAACTACAAAACTTCATTATACCCTTCTCTGTGCATTAACAAAGTTATTAATTTATAGAACTCCAGATTGTTAAACCAATATTGGCGACCATATTTAACACACATTTTTTTAAAAAAGTTTCTTGACTTTAACACATTTTGGAGGTTTACAATACTTAGCACTGGTTGCATGAATACTCCTATTGTTTAGTAAGAAATTACTTTACTATATATGATAATAACCAATGTGGATATAATTATTCATTAAAACAACTTTGATTTCTGATACTATTATTTTAATTATAAATTAATATCTTTATGTTAAGAATTATCAATATGAATGTAATTTTATGAATTGGGCACTTGACTGAATTTTCAATTTTTATTCGCTAATACAAAGATAATTAGCATTAAATAAAACTGGTGGGGACGAGGTTACATCATGAAAGTGAAAATGGCTGCGTCATTGTCTATCACTGCTTAGCTGTTGGATAGTTTGTAATTTGTTTGTTCAAGTGGCGTAATACTCTGCAGCCATAAAAGATCTATTGTGTGCTGTAGTTAATCACTGTTACATTTCAGTACATTATTTTGGCAGTATCAGAAAACTGCAGAAGACTTGTCCGATTGCAAAACTCACAGTTCTTAGGGCCAGGTAATCATTCCCTAACAAAAATAACCAATTTTTTAATTAAATCTTCAAATTTTTCAAGGGGTATTTTTAATTAATTAATAAAATTAATAATTTCAAGGAAATAACATTATTGAACCCTTTCACCTCCTCTCAATGCTTCAATTTATTTTTATTTTTATTTATTTCGATAACTTTTCAGGCCAACTTTGCCCATTAGATAAAAAGTTCGACTTGAAAATGGGCCAAGTTGACCTGAAACGTTGTCAAAATAAATAAAAATAAAAATGAATTGAAGCATTGAGAGGAGGTGAAAGGGTTCAATAACGTTATTTGGTTGAAATTATTAATTTTAAAAATAACCTAGTCCCTGCGAACCCGTCACACCAATAGGTGATATGAAAAGCTGATTCATCTTCTCGGTTACAGAACCTACAGAAAGGTGACTCGGTCAGCCAAGCAATGACTTGTATAGATTCTTGTAATTTTGCTAAGAGAATCCCTATTCAAGTTAATCAGCATGCTTCTTCTGTTTGTATAGGAACCATCCAAGAACAGCCTTGAATGAATCTGTCTCTTCGCGTACTAATATTTACTAACTTCTATACTTCCCCATTCTTCTTCACCGGGAGAACTGGAGATCCATGCTGGAGCAGGCCAAGTCTCAAATAATTGGGATGTAGTGCCATTTAATAATAATTCTTCTTCTCGTGGTAATACTACATATTGATTCATGTGTTATGGGAGTAATTTCAGAATCTTTCCTTGAATAATTCATCTGCTGCAATACCAGATATTATACCCGTTCGATAGTGACTTTATTTCACAGAGAAGGATTGTTAAATATGGAGCAGCAATCCCTAATAAATTTGGATCTCATAGTGTAATTGCTCAGTGCTCATATTGCATATGCAATATACTATCATATGCCGTCTATCACTCAGTTCTAACTTTTAGTTTAGAATAGTGTTTCCGGCTTCACAATTTCCACCCAAGACATATTTCTTTTTTATCTCACCCTTTCATTTCTGAATAAAAATATTTTGTTTAAAAATTATTTTATTAGTTCCTATTAATGTATTTTTATCAATTAGAGCAAAGAGAGGTGTAAGAGTATCATTTTTGGCAGCTGTATACATCATGATTAGAGAACGGATCTTCATGCAGTAAAAAAGACGAAAAACGTTCCAAAAAAAAAACTCAAAATATGCGAAATTGTGTAGTAAAAACCCAAAATATGTAAAATTGTCTAATTTACTCCTAAAACATGCAAAAATTATCTATTTTGTTTAATTTATAAAATTTATATATCGAAATCCCATCAAACCTTATGTTAAGCTCCTGAATTAAAATATTATGTCACAAAAAAAAATTAAAATGCAACATTGAAAATTAAAATCCAAATTACAATCAACTTACTGCAACAATACATAATCTAATACAACAATAAATTATGATCAAGGTAAGTGACAAATTTCAAAATTATAACCGAATTAAAGTTTGAGGAAAATTTGACTAATGTGATATTATGAATGTCAATTCATTTATTCATGCTAAATTTATGATAGCCTACAATTCATTTCAAGCCGAAAAGGACTTTAAAGTGAGAATTCAAGTCAAAACAAGGAAGGCAGTTTTTTTATTAAATTACCTGAGGCAAATTCTATTCCACTAATAGTCTGTCTGCACTTGTACTTATTTCGTCCTTTTGTAGCATTAAATTTGAACCTTCACCTTCCTCATATTTTTGATTCTAAAATTATAAATTTAATTTGGACAAGATAGATAATTAAAAAAAAGTAAATATTTACACACAAATATATATTTTATTTATATTTATAAATTATTTAATGTAGCACGAAATGCATGAAAGTGGGCAATTTAATGCAACAAAAATCAAAATCTTGCAATTTAAAATTATAGTATGTTATTCTACAAATCCTGAAACGGATAGATATTTGGGTCTGCTGTTTTTACACTCAAGTGGATAAAATGTGCAATAACATGGAAATCCGGTCTCTAATCATGATACTGTATACCTCTCTGAGACACACTGTTATTTCAAGTTTTTAGCTGAATGTCAATCTTATTTTATTGCAGCTCAAATTTACGAGATTTTTTTTCCTTGCATGTACCCATTGACTGCTGTTATAGCTTTTTCATTTTTTAATAAAAAAATTACTAACTGTTTCAGGATTACGGGCTGACGACTGATGAGAGTACAGAGAGCTCGGACATGGAAAGCGAAAGAGATCACGCCAGCCCAGATCCTTGGGCCAACTCAACTACAGCTCCTCCAAGAGGTCAGTTGAAATATTTTTTATTAAGGAAATTTTCAGATTACATTAAACTTCTGAGTGGCGAACATCTTTGGAGAATCAAATTTTGTTCGCTATAGAGAAATGTCTATTTTAGAGAAACAGGAAGTGAAATATGATAATTTTTTTTATAATATGTATACTGAAGTTACAACTGTATTACCTACAAATACAACTAGTAAATTTGAATTAGTAACATAACATGTACAACTTGAAGAGAAACTACCCATTGGTAGCATTCCCATTATAGGTACATATTAGAGGGTTGGAGGATTGTCAGGAATAGAAGAGTATACAAGGTTAGAAAGAAGTAGGTTTGGGCTTGAAGTTTATTATAAAAGGATGGGTGTCTGAATTCGGCTACGTCGTTAAGATATGGAACATTAAGTTTACTATAAATAATTTTATATGAAACAAAGTAGGAAGCATTGAGGATTTTGGATTGTAAAGATTGCATATGAGAGGAATTTTATGGCTCCGTGAAGCTCCAAAGTTCAATTCCGTAAGTCTAAACTAGCCTTATTATAGTCAAGTAAGTGTTGAAGTAGCCAGAAATGACTTGTACTTTCTTGTTATTTTAGTCTTGTTTGATAATTCCAAGTAAGACATTTTTCTAGATGGAATCCTAAGTAGCAGATCTGTTCAACAGAGATAAATGAGGTATTATTGAAGGATATTGTAGGACAGGAAGTCATACATTTACGATGAAGGGTAAAGATGATTTGTTGGAATGTATTTTAATCCCCTAATTTTGACACCATTCTTCAAAATTTTGCATGTGTTTTAAGTGTTTGGAAGCAACAAAAAAAAGCAGATAAATTGGATTTTAAAAGTCATATAAATAAAATCAGCTATTCATTTAAAAATATTTTTTATTTTTAAATTCACAATTTAATTGTGTTTTTATGAGAATTAATATATTATTTATAATAAAAGTTTAAATATAAAGCAGATACTAGTGTGAAAAAAGAAAATTAAAATTTCAAATTACTAAGAATAATCTGTTTTACACTTGTTTATTCTTAGCCATTTAATTTTCCAATTTGGCTTTGATAAATAAAATCAGTGCTTCTTTGCTATCTTTCTTTGAAATTAGAATTTTTTTCAGTAATAAACATTTTTTTGTAAATATGTGATATACTTATGTCTTTCCGATTTTGAATCGAGTAGCTAAAATACAACTACTAATTTTGTACTCAGATAATATATATTCATTTTTTCTTTTGAGTTGATATGATAACAATAAAATCTGTAAGAGAATTAACAACATAAGGTCAAAATTGAAATTTCTATTTTAAAACTTTATTTCCAGTTTATATATTGAACTAAACTACTATGTCTAGTTCTTCCATACTGTTAATAAATACTGTTACAAAAGTTGAACTTTGTTTATTTCTTTGGGTATTATTTAGATAATCCTTTACATGTCAGGATAATAATCCCAATTAGTTTGTATTTTTTTTTTCCGCTCTGTTAACATGGAGTGGGTTGATAAAGAAAACCAAATAGCTGTGATCGCCTTACACAAAGTTGAAAAATGTAGGTCAGAGATTTTCAAAGTTTTTGAAAAAATTAATTTTTCTGTTGAAATCTGTATATATTTTCTTGTAACAATATTTATGATACGTCTAGGTAAATTGGGTAAATGTTCTTGTAATACGAGCCTCACAGGCTTTCTGCTCTCCGTTATGGAGAAGCTGTTCAATAAAAATTCTGGCTCAACCCTGCCCGTGTCCATTACAGAGAATATCTGTTATGCAGAAATCGATTTAACTATATAATTATAGTTTGATTATAAATTTGTTGATCTAGGACAGATTATAAATTTGTCCGCCATAGAGAAAGGTCTGCTATAAAGAAGGGTTTACTACTGGAAGTTTCACGTTTTTTCCTTTTTTTAGAATCGTCCGTAAATGTTATCTTACAGAAATATTGCTGGAATTTCTATTTTTTTGGTTCAAATGATTTTAGAAATTATTTTTAAGTTATTAATTATTCTTTGACTTGCAGGTTCTCTAGCTGAACAGCTGAAACAAGTTCTAGCCGAAAGGGAGAGGCGGATGTCATCAGGAAGCTGCGAACCGAACCAAACCCTCAACAGTTCGATGAATAGTACGACCAGTCTTGGTAGCAGCCAGTCAAGTGTGCCTCAGTCCTTGGTCGAGGAGATCAGGCACGCCGTTGCTCAAGCGAACCTCAAAGGTAGCTGTTGGTTTAGCTGTGAGTCCTAAATGATTGCAGGTCTTCTTTACAACGATCAATTGCTGACTTTTTAAAATATTAAAATAATATTGTAGCAGTTTTTTCTTTAACATCATACCAATTATGCTCAGATTATGTTTTTTGTTCAAATTAGAAATGTAAGAACAGAGTTAGCAATTTTTCTAACAATATTACTCTTAAGAAACATAGCACCAAGTCCAGTCTCTTATTATTACCTTAAAACTTTAATTAACTATTATCTGGCTAGGCTTATAGTTTATCACTTGTACCCTAACAGTGTTGAAAAATAATAATAGTAATAATAATAATAATGTTTTATTTATTCTGGGACGAGTCCCTTTAGAATAATATAAAAAGACAATAATATGGGCTAAGGAGCCTTAGAGATACATGAACAAAAATATAGAGTAATTAAATAGTCAAAATAAAAAAAAATAATAAAAAAAATAATTAAAAAAAATTATAAGTTACTTACTAATTTAGATCAGTTAAAAATAAAAAACAAAAAATTGAAAATAAACCTGAAATAAAAATAATGAAGAACGCTCTAATAATTTATATACATATTTACAGTAGTAGCTATTTACAATTTTGTATGTATCAAAAACTCAAGTTTTTCCAAAATTAAAAAATATTTAAATAAAGGGAGTGGAGTAGCTCAGTGATAGGGCACTGAGCTTCTAATGCTCAAGGTCCACGGTTGGAATCCCAGCTTGTGGCAGATAAATTATTTTATTCTGTTTCATCAGCTGTGGATCGACCTCGAGGGTCGAGAGACCATCCTGCTGCACACCTAACCACTATAAAGTGGGTACTCTTAATTAAATAATTGATTAAGGGGGAAAACATGGCGGCAGAGCGTGATCTTGGTCAAATCACCTCCTTGCACAACCGTTGACCAAGAAACAGTACCATCCCTTCATAGTATTGAACCTTCCTGGGTTGTAGTAGTACAGATTTTTTTTAAACATTAAAAAAAAATAGTCTACTTAGGGAGATAAAAATTCATTCAATATTGATTTTATTTCTAGTTCTGTATAATAAGAATATATATTTTTTTGTTATAAATAGTATATAAATAGTTTAATTGTTATCTCATTTCAAAGATTAAGAACATCAATGCATATTCTTATATTGATTGACCGGTTTCAGAGATGAACTGAATGAAACATATGTTATTTTGTCAATGAATTTTATAATATCGACAATAACTATTACTAGTGAATAAATTTATTAGTTCTTTTTCCAGTAAAGAAAAGTTGGCCCCAGGGTTCACCTTCATCCTCTGGCTCTGTTTCCCCTGGTATCTTAACCGCGGATCCCAGCCCAAGTAAAATTGGATCATCAGGTAATGTCTAATTTTTTCTTGCTTAATGTATAATTTATTTTATTTTATTTTTTTATTTAAGCTCTTTTCTGCATAAATTGAAGTTTCCCTAAGTTGGTTCTTTCACTTCTCCCTTCCTCTGTCAGCCGTTGGCTCGCCATACTCTTAGCCACATCTCTCCACCTGACACGAGATCTTCCTCTCCTCTTATTGAAAGGCCTCCCACTCAAATGCTGTTTTGGGAAGTCGTTCACTATTCATCCTTTTCATATGCCCTTACCACAGTAATCTTCTTTCTTCCATTATTACTGGTATATTATACTTAACTTCCATCTTTTCTCTAATGGACTTGTTCCTGATTCTTTGTGTCCTTGAGACTCTAGTTGACCTCCTCCAAAAATCCATCTCCATAGCTAGAAATCTTCTGTGATTTCTTAAGTGGCCACCTTTTCCGAATTATAGTGAATCATCTCTACCAGGGCCTTATATATTAATTTCTTTACATTATTATAAATATTTTTGCTCCAGAGGACTGAATTGAGCATACCAATTGCTTTCCATCCGTTTGTCAATCTTTTTTCAATATCATTCCTAACTCTTCCATTGCTTTCAAGTGTTAAGTCAAGGTAGCAAAATTGGTGTACCCTACAAAGCTCTGTCAAAACTGGGTCACTCAACTCATAATTCTCTGTAGACATATATTTTGTTTTATAATAATTAATATTCAGGCCCCATTGTTCATACTGTTAATTTTCTGAACATATAACCGATATCAAACTCGTCTTTTGCTATTATCACCTGGTCATCCGCGAATAGTAGGTGATATAAATGTCTGTCATTCATTGGAATGCCCATTTTGCCACATTTTTGTGTCCAATTTCTCAAACTATCTATATATATTTTAAATAAAGTAGGGGACATGCAGTATCCCTTAAGAATGCCTTTACTATTTCTTAACTCTTCTGTTATGAAGGAGCCAATTTTTACTTTGCACTTATTCTCTCTATATATTTATTTTAATATATTCAATTTAAAAAGCTATTATTTTATTATATATTATATTCAGATTCGAGTGATGTCTGGATACCCAACGAAGAGCGTCGGTTGCTAATGTGCCAAAATACTCCGATTCCTGAGTGGACCAGTGAGCAGGTAAGCTGGCTAATTCTGATATTTTAATCTAAATAATAACTAATTCTGTGTTATTATGGCAGGGACTAATAACTCATTTTTTATAATATGGCATTAAAAAAAAAAAATAATAATGGATTTAGAATCCATTGAAAATACTAAATTTTTTATTTCAGTTATAATTTTCAAGAATGAACATATTGCTGTTTCCAAAGAAATCATAACTTTTTTTTGTGTATACAATTTTATACCGGACTATTAACTATAATTTGTACAATAATTAATAATTAACTAAAATTAATATTTTTTATCTTCCCTATTTTTAGTAAACATTCTGAACTTAAGTTCTTTCTAATTAAGTGCAAGAGTATTTTAGGCTAAAAGTTTCATTCTTAGGCAAAGAAATTATTTTTTTTCCAACCACAAAAATGAATTAGTAAAAATAAATTTTGTTGGGATCAATCAGAGATTCTGAAAATTTTTAATAGTTTTAATTGTTGACTCCTGGTTTAGAATAAGAAATTTCTTAAAGAAAAAAAAATGAACATGTATATAAATTTAAGGTAATAATTTTAAATTTCCCTTAAGGTCAGTTACTGGCTCACCTCAGTTGGCCTGGAAGCGTACACCGAAACTCTTTTCGAGAGTGGTGTCACCAACGGAACCGCACTGCTATCGTTGGAGCCTAGTCGGGTCAAGTCTCTCGGCATAACTGGCCAAGGGAAGTCCCTCGTCAAGAAGAGACTGAAGGAGCTGCGTGCTAAGGCACAAAGGGAAAGGAGGCAGTCGGAAAAGGAGCGTAGGGAAAGGGAGCGCTTGCTTAAGAAAGCGGAAAAGATGTTGGAAAAACCTGTCAAAAGGAAATGAGTAAGTTTATTTTTCTTCTGCTTAATAAAAATTAATTAAACTCTCATGTTAGATAGCTATCCTTCTCCCTAATGTATTCTGCATTTTAGCAACTGCAGCAAAACATGTTCATTTGTATGTGTACTCTTCAAGGTTAAGTCCTTGTGTTTTCAAGTACAGTATAACTCCTATTATCCGGGATAATGATGGGTGGGTATGGGGGTTCACGGATAATTGAATTACTATTTTATTGATTTAATGTAATAAATAAGAAGGTTAATTTAAAAAAAAAAATGCACAGAAAATCACTTTTATTAGCAAGCAAACGTTTTATATACATTAAATTATAATATACAAAAATATAGAAGAATGAATTTATGCATATTTTTACATATGTATTGAATTTTCATTTGGAGAAAAAAATCAGTAATTTTAATATTTTTTTTATGAAACATTTTGTTTTCCCTCAGCGCGTTTTTGCATGAACCATTGATAGACGGCTTCATCTACATCTTTTTTTGCAGAGTTCTTCATTGTTTTCTGAGAACACAATGTTTAGACCGACGACAATACAAAGTCGGAAATTTCTTCTTTTTACTTTAAAATATGATGAACAGTTTGCTCGCTAATTCAAAATTGAGTAGACAATTTTTTAATGCTTTCACATTTTCAAGGATTAAAATGACACATTTTCTTTTTTGAGAAGTTTGTATTTAAATAGAGACTAAACCATAAATGAGTAAATAATTTTGTTTTGCAGGAAAACAGGCCAGTAGTAGTTTCAAAGAAAGACTTGAAAACATTACCGTTCCTAGAATATGAATTGGACTAGTAGTTACCAGAAACATCTCACTTATAGGATACAAAGCTTGCCGTGTTTTTCTATTCATTATTTTATTTTGTTAAAAAAAATATTAAGAATTCATTTTTTAAAATAAATATTATACATATAAAATAAATGTTGTAAAAATTAAAAAAAAAAAAAAATTGGCCCCTCAGAATCCTAGTTAATAGGAACTCCGGAACTCCAGGTAATGGGGGTCCTACTGTACTTTCAACCATCTTTCTGCCAGTAATTGTTTTTTATGCATGTACTGCATGCCTTTGGTTTTGAGGCAAAGATCTCTTCTCGTTCAAATTTTATATCCTTTTAATTATCAAAGATCCAACCTTTCAAAAAATCAGCCATTGATCTAAACAAACACTAATGGTGCAATATCTGTGATTTACACAGGATGAGGCAAAACATTTACTGCTTGCATTTCCAATAATTTTTCCTTGGTCAAACGATAACGGTGTACTGGGGCATTGTCATGTTGCAGCAAAATGGCTTTGTTTCTGTTGACCAAAGCGGGGTACTTCACATTCAAAATAGCATAAACTCTGTTTAGCTGTTCACAGTAAAGGTTTGAGTCCTCTGTCCGATCATCAGGAACAAGCTCAAAATGCAAATCATCTTCCAAGTTTTGATGGATAACTGACTTCTTCTATGGCGAAAATTTCTTCGTCGGCTGCCTTTGCTCTGGACCTTTTTTCTAGTAATACCTCAAAAGATCTCGAATCACAATTTTTTCTTCTGATATTTTCACCTCATCATCATCATCATCATGGGACCGAGACTGGGCCTCCTCCAAGAGCCTCTGCCAGTCGGCTCTGTCTACTGTTGCAGCTTTTCAGTTCCGTACCCCAAGCAGAGTTCTTGCATCATAGGCCACGCTGTCCAGCCATCTCGTTCTCAGCCTTCCTACCCGTTTTGCGAGGTGCAGCTACGTCAATGTCTGTATGAAGAGAACTGAGCTCCCTATTTTTTCTTTTCCTCCAGACATCACCCTCCTTTACTGGACCATAGATCCTTCTGAGGACTCCTCGCTTGAACACACTCAGGTTCATCTCATCACTTCTCATCATCGTCCAAGCCTCTGAGCCATATGTCAAAACTGGCCATACAAGGGTCTTGTATATAATCAGCTTGGTCTTCTTTGAGAGATACCTACTTCTTAAGTGTCAGCCAAGTCCAAAGACATATCTATTGGCAACCATGATCCTTCTCTGTATTTCTTGAGCCAAGTCATTTTTACTATTTACTTCAGACCCAAGTTATATAAAGCTTTTTACTCTCTCAAACTTAAAAGAACCTACCTCAAATGGAGAGTTCAGATCCACCTCACCACCAACTCTCATATAGTTAGTTTTCTTCTCGTTGACTTCTATACCAAGTCAAGTCGTCTGCAGCAGCTGCTTCAAAGGCTGTAACCGCTTCTCTGAGAGCCCGTTCAGACCTTTCTATTATATCAATATCATCAGCAAATATTTTACTTCGAACTCTTCAGAGGCATCAGAACCGACGCTTTTGTACATTTTGAGCTGTCCAGGCTCATCTTGATTAGGCATATGAGCTTCTGAGAGATGCTTAGCTTTTTTGGAAATTTTAATGTTATAAATATTTTGTACTTTCAAATTTAGTGTTAAAATTCATCTAATGTAATGCAAATACTTTGTAAGGGCTAAAATGATCAGTAAGAGATTGAGGATTCCTTCGTTGTTATAAATAAATAAATAAATTGAAAAGTTTGAATTTTAAGGACATCAGAAGTATTTGAAGTCTCCCATAATTCTAGTCTATAAAGGTTTTATAAGTAATTGTTGATGATTAATTTGTTAGTTACTACCAGGATGATGATTCTTATCATTTGTTGAGTTATTTTCTGTTCATTGTCGTATGGGTTCTCAGTGTCAGTCTCGTGTCCAGGTGAAGTAAAAAATATTGCACTTCTTCATAAAAATTGCAGTTTACCAAACCTTTTTAATGCCAGTACCAGTATATATAGAGGTTCAACTACAAGTCATTGCTATGTGTATTATTTTTCATTCATTTATGTTATAATTAAAGCTTTATCATTTTAACTTATCAATTAAAACTGTTTAAGATGTTTTTTTTTTTAATTTTTAGGTTTAAGTTCCTTCTTTATCATCTGTGGTTGTGAGCCAATCAGAATAACAACGCATCAGAGAGTTTCACTCTCCGCGCTACTTTTCTTTTACCAATTATTTCTTTTTAATAATGAGACAAAAGTAGCGTTGTATACTTATATCAGGTTGTATTGTTGTATTTATTTGTAATATTGTTATTTTTTTTATATATATATGATATTTGTATTATACATATATATATAAAAAATTATATATAAATATGTGTAGAAAGAAAACTTATTTATATCATTCACATTCCAACACATTTTATGATTGTAAATTGCCTTGTTTTTATTTTATTTTTATATATATATTTTTGTTTTTCGTATTTCCTTTTTTGTTGATATTCACAACGGCAATAAATGTACGATTAGGAATGAAAATATAAATCAAAGTTAACTTATTATTGGCTGTGCCATCGGTATTATTTGTTGTACAGTTATAAACGTGTTGTATATGTATAATGTTACAATATTTATTATTACTGTAGGGTTATTGTAGAGTTATTGAATTGTATTATGCTATGTAGGTGCCACAAATGGAAACAGTATTTCCCAGTATTTTTAGTTGGCATTCTAATTGTTCGTAGTAGCTGCCTGTTCCATATTTTATTTCTGAATTGTTATTATTATTATTATTATTATTATTAATGTAAATAAAACTATTCAAATAAAGTCTGTGTATGAAACTTGAAAAGGTCCCTTGAATTTTTTTATGATCAAGAAAAAAAAATTGTATGATTATAAATGTACATTTTCGCATAATTCAATGTTAAATATTGTTCAAATTTAAAACAATTGTTTTTTCAAACAACATTACTTTTTCATCAATTTAATTTAATTTTTATAATGATTCAAAGCTGATTTGAAAGGCAAAGTTCTTTGAAATCAGTCCAGATACATACATGTTTTTGTCGGGTATCGTCTTGTACCCATTTCTGAATAGTTTCAATTTAGTTAAATTTTAATAACTTTGTTTAATTTTGTTCTCAATAATTTTTAAAAGCTAGTTAACAAATTGTATATGATACATAGATTTTTATTCTAATAAAAATTCAAGGATCCTTGAAAAATTCAGTGCATAAATATTTTCGATATATTGAAGTTAAATGTATAGATGTTTTACTGTAGATAATTTTTTTTTTCTGTTTTTAAATACTTTTATGCACTTTTGATAGTTGTGCTGAATAGATAGCAATTATTATAGTTTTTTTTTAATAATGAAAAAAAATTGTGTTCAATTGTGTAATAAAGAGTTATTACTTGTAAAATTGGTTGTGAATGTGTTCATTTCAGATATAATATTAGAAACGTGTTTTATAAACGAGAATTCTGAAATTGTTATCAGCCAAATATTTTATTTACATTTTATAATCTATGCAGCCCTGGTGTTTAGCAAACTTTTTTGAGAAACTCGGGAAGAACTTCCACATTTTTTTAATGTAGTAATTTTTTGAAAATTAGTCATGGGACCCATGCTCATTAAATGCATAATAAAAACAATGCAGAGAAATATTTTTTACAAAAATTGTTAGTTGTTGCTCATAAAGAAAAAATTTTGGAATCATAAAATAAAAATTCATTAAGTTTGAAAACGCAGGCAGCTACAAGTGTCTTTTAAGAATCTTCATTCTTTGATATTATAACGAGGAACCTGCACCATCGTGTTTGAGTAAGCAAATGCTCAACTAATTTATAACTGGAGATTTTAAATTGATCTTACGAATCGAAAAGATGTTTAGATTTGAATAATTATGTACATATTACATGTGAAATTGAATTTAAAAAATATTTGACGAGAAAGAGGCCTAGAATGTGTTAACATAAACTATTTATTACCAATTCAAAGTGATTTTTGTTATTACATTAATGTAAACAAAAATTGAAGAAAAAAAAATACGAAGAAAAGTTATCATTTTGTAAATGTCAATTGTCATTGTATAATTAAGTCAAAACAAAAAAAAAAAGTTTGTTGTTGTGTGGCCATTTGTATAATTGTGTGTATTAGATATACCCTGTACTTATCTTATAAGGGAACCACATTGTTGTGTAAGACTTTCACATGTTGAGGTCTTACAAATTTATAATTTAAATTTAATTATAACTAAATTATTAATAAAAATTTTCCATGACCTCTTTTGTTTTTCCTTTTCACACTTGATTTATTGCATATTTAATTATACTAGTGTTCACCCATTGATCAAATTATGAGCATAATCATTATTGAAAATTTGAGGAAAAGATAAATGAATTTGCATGTTTCCAACATTTTTTTTTTCTTCACTTTTAAATGTACTTGCAATGCAAAACAGAGCAGTACCGTTTGTCTACTTTTTGAGTTATTTCTGAATTCATTATTATTTTTTTCAAAAAAATATTTGAACTTACTTTGAATTTTTGGTCAGTACAAATTGTTTCGTTTCAACATTGTACTCATCCTATAGCTCAAAAATCAAAATATAATTTTAGTAAAATATCTTAAAAATAAATTTTTAAAAGAATTGTGGAAAATATTCTCCTAATTGACTTCAAAGTTGATGCAATTGATGATATAAATGATACTCACAAATGTAGGACTGAATTCAGATTGTTAATTTAAAAAAGTTGAGTAAAATAAATAAATGAATTACTGTAATATAGCTCTGTACGAAAACTTTCGCTGCATTAAAATTTTTAGTTTATTTGTATTAAAAATATATGTATTTATTGTTAGGCAGATATTTTTGAAAAGTAGTATTTAGTAAGGGTAAGTATTGTGATTGTGAAAAGTTTTGAAAAAAAACCAAGTCTCACAAAATGGTCTGTGTGCATGTGTATGTGTATGTGAACAGCCTAGCTCAAAAACGAAAAGTCGTATGAAACTAAGATTGTGTATTTAAGATTTTTATATGCCTGATATGTTACAGCAACATTTTCATCAAAATTGGCAAACCGCATGTGGTACTTTATACATCAATGATATTACACATTTTTTTTATTTTCTCAAAAACAGCTCTAACGATTTTGATTCAATGCAGTATATCAGTGTATTGTTAAGTGGTATTTAATATCTGCTAGGTATTATCCTAATTGATGTCACCTTACAGGGCTCAAATGCCCAATGTTCTCTAAAGTACCTTTAATTTGGTTATTTTAGATAATTAACTATCTTTCATTGTTAGGAGTTATGAAAAAAGGCTAAATATAACTTTTAGAAGAATTTTATAGTTGAATAAACGAGAAAAAAAGAAAAACGCTTCTTTGGAAATAATAGTCAGAAGATATATGTGTAATATAATGTGGGAAAGCAGAAAATTTTAGAAAAAACAATATCTAATATAGAAAGACATAGAAGGTAATGGAGAGTTATGAAAAATTATAAATAATAATTTGTGGAAAACTAATATTGTTTAATGGAAATCACGTGTTTCTAAGGAAATTAAAGGAAATTTCTTAACTAAATGCAAAATTTTAAAATAATTTTTAAGTTTGAAAAAAAAATTATTTAAAATCCACCAAATCAAGGCAATGGCATTGTTTAAAAAACTATTTCGTTGTACTTGTGTGAATAACGAAGTGAAATACTAAAATAGTTCATGAATGTTTAAAACATATATTTATAATCTTAAATACATTGATTATAGTTTAATAACTCTAGAGCTTATATTATATTTAAATAATTAAGAGCAATGTCCAATGTTTTGACGTGTAAGGATCAGCTGCCAATGATTTCTATGTAAGCCGGAAGTACAAAATTGTACTTTCAGGTTACAATCGACTGTACACCAGTTTACATTTGTATCTATTGAAACAAATAATGCATCTGAGGCTCATTTGACATCTCCCTCTTGTTCGGGTAATGAGTTGATAAAATATTAATTAGTTAATTAATTGAAAATGTTCAAAATCACAATCTTAATCGAGTCTTCAAACAAAGAAAAAAATACGTGATGGTACTAAGAAACAAAATAACAATGTGGCCTCAAGAATGCAGTACATTCCAGGTAAAGCATAGTGAAGAAGTGAATAATATAAAATGATATAATTTCTTCAAGAATTATTAATGGACATTTGGAGAAAATGGTTTGTTTCATACATAAGTAAGAAGATATAGTTTGGGTAATAAATTTAAAGATATTTTTTCTCCTATTATCAATATGGTTAATTATTATTGTTAATAGATTGCTTCCATTGCTGAATGAAAGCTGAAGAAATATCAATCTGGATTCTGAAGAGAGTTCAATGATAAATCATAGTTTTACTCTGTGAATTCTGTTGGAAGAGGCAAAAGAATACCAGATACGTAATCATCACATCTGACGTGATCAGAGAAGGACACATTTTCATAATAAGGTAATTATAAAAATGAATACACCAGCCAAATTGGTTCAGCTTATAATAATAATAATGGAGGACAATCCTATGCTTTGTCATAAAACCATTATTAGTATTTAAGTAACAGGAACACTTCTTTGAAGGAAAGTCAAGATTTTAGGTTTGAATCTTGCAGGAAAGATCCTAAACACTGTGAGAGAAGCTTTTCAGGCATTCGAGGAGTATGCAACTAATTACAAGTAAAGATGATGAAAGTCATATGGCAGTATAGATTCAAAAATGAACAATCCTTCATTTACTCAGGATCCCAGATTAATCAAAAGAGAAAATCTAGAGAAAGATGCTCTCAGAAAACCACAACTTTTTTTTTTTCTCCAAAACACTTATGAAGCGTTGCATTACACAAGACCTCAAAATAAACTATATCCAAAACAATAATCCAACCAGTACTTATATATCACTCAAAATGTTCATCAAAAAAAAAAAAAAAAACATTTTCTCAAGGCAAAAGTAGGATGTACTAATTTTTGAAAATTTAAAGATATTTAAAAAAAAAAAGAAATATAACTTAAAGAAATAGTTTTCTTGGACTAAATTGTTTATATATTTTTTTCATATTGCATAATAAAAGAAACAAATGGAGATAATATAGCGTGCTCACAAGAATATAACAGAAAAAATTATCCCTTTCTACATAATAATTGATCTGATTAACGATTGAACTATAATTGAAATGTTTGTTTTCATTTTGCCTTAAATACAAATTTTATAATTGAACTTTCAAAGTATTTGAGAGAAATGTTAGTTTCGATTCAATGTCATTTGAGTTTGCCCTTGGTCTGCAATATTCTTGTGAACGAGCTATGATGATTAATTATATTTATTTTTAAATTTCAGATGCTACCCGCAAATATCCAGACGTGACATAATATGCAATCATGCAGCCAATGTTGCTATAGCTCTTCATGACACCTTTTCTAATTATATTAATGATTTTAATGAAATTTATCTTATAGAACAGTAATCTATAAAAGTATGAAAAAAAAAAAAATGTTTTCATGAAACCAAAGAAGAACTTATATTTTAAAGGAAGGAGATGGTCCGGGGTTGCGGTCATAAAAAGACTAAATAGTGGTAAAACTATTTAGCCTTTTTATGACCGCAACCCCGGACCATCTCCTTCCTTTATAATACAACGGTCAACTATTAAATATTCAACTTATATTTTAGTTTTAGCTCTCACAAATTATTGTCCACGTGACAGATTATTATATTTCTAAATAAATAAATAAAAAACTCACATTGTGTATAACTTTTATCAGAAATCCTTTTTACTTCATTGAGTTCAAGATTTGTGTTTAAATAAAATTTTATTTTACAGTAATCATTATGATAAATTAATAAAAGTAATTAATTCTAATAGTGTGATCTTTCACGTTTGTTGCCTAAATATAGTGGTGAAAACTATATGTTCATAAATTAACCCAAATGTTAATGTAATAAGGTTTTGATGAAGAAAAACCTAAAATAAAATGTGATAAATACTTTTAAAAAAATTGTGTGCCAAAAGAGATTTTTCAATAAAATATAAAAAGATTTTTAAAAAAAGAAAGTGCAGTTATCTAATGTATAGCTTTGTTCTTATCTACTATAATAAATAGAAAAGACAATTTAAAATTAAGTTTAAAAAACATTGTAATTTTAATTTTATTCTGTAAATAACAAATGTTATTATTACTGAAGATTGTCAATTCATTTACTATTATTTATGATTTAATTGTTATTATTTATGTTAAATAAGTCTTATTTTCTAACAGTAATACAATCACAATCTGAGGTGTATTAAAGCAAAAAATTGTGATCTATACAACCTTTAGATGTAACACCAGCATACACGATGATCTGAGACATCAAAGCAAGAATATTACTGTTGTTTTTTTCCTTATTTCAATTTCTTTTTAAATTAATTTTACACTTCATGGAGTGGGAAATAAACATTTATAAAGTAATTAGGAATAAATAGAATTTTTATTCAATAAACTGTTATAATTATAATTTTTGTATTGAAATTTTCCATTTTATTGCTCCAATTAAAAGCATAAAGCTACTTATCCATAGTTTTCTTTATATTTTAGGGATTAATTGTCTAGTTATTAGAAACTTTTGAGTAGAATATTCATCACTGTTGTACAAATAAACTTTCTTAATGATCAAGATCTCTCTGAATGATTGTGTATGTTGGATGATAAAGGAACTTTTCAACATAAGCAGGAATATTATAACCGGTGAGCAAGTATCTCTTTTTTTTGTTCAACAAACACAGAAGATCAATATAAAATTAAGAAGAAATATGATTTTTGTTATATCTTAAAGAAATATAAATTAATGTATCCCTATTGCTATTTCAGAAGACCTAGTTTGTGAATTGACAAGTATTAGTTCTATAAACTAAACGTTGACTTAACAGTGCAATACACTCCATATCTATAATTCAATATTTTGTTTTTATGTTTATGAATTTAACATATGTACTTGTATTCTTTGCTAAGTAAATATATATTATAAATGAGAAAAATGTAGTGCAATGTAAATGGTTATTTGTATTTCTCTTAAATGTTTATAATGTTGTAAAATATATAATAAATAGACTTGTGTAAAAGTTTTGTATATTACAACCCAAATTTCCCAAAATAAAAAATAAAATTTGAACTTCAGACAGTTTGTTTTACTACTTTCCTTTTCTTTGATATAAAAAATATAATAGAAGTAAATAAGGATAAATTAAGCGATGAGATTATAAATAAAGTAAAGTAATATGTATCTCTATTATTATTTATATTCCTACTTCTCCCTTTATCCTAAATTTACTTGTGTTGA